AGGTACATAATTATGTGCATTGTAAGTTAAATAAGGCTTATAATAAAAATTATTATTGTCTGGCGACTCAGCGCTTTATAGCCACTACAACCAAGCTACGTAACCATTCTAATTTTACCTTTGTTCCAACAAAATGTCCTTCACTGTTAATATATTCCAACCTAGTTCCGCTACTCGGTAATAGATGGCGCTGTCTGATAGCTATCGGAAGCGTTTCGGTTTTACACGTAGATACACCCACTTTATCTTGATCTCCTGATAAACGTGCTTGAAATGTACACAGAGGTCAACGTAAATTGGATATGAGCGGCCACCGTTTCAACTGATTTGAAATTTTAATCGTGGATAGGCGTACTGTTGTAAGCTCGACTTTATTGCTATGGAGTTAGAGATGGATTTTGCGTTATGGAAGAATAAATTGTTCGTAATCAGCGTTTCTTGATATCCAATCTTTGTTTATAATTTGCAATTGTTATAGAAAATTAAATTTTTAATGTTTTGTTATGTAATAGTTCGGCAAACGAGCAGACCGATTACCTGATGGTAAGCAACCAGCGCCGCCCATGGACATCCGCAACAATACCAAAGGAGTTACGATACATTGCCAATCTTTTGTGGATTAGGGATTCGGATATTTAGGGATTGGGGAAGGGGAAGGATTGGGGGTTTTAAAAACCTCATTCACACTACGAAACACAACGCTGTCGTTGTTTCACGCCGTTTTGTGTGAGGCCATAGTATCACTCCGGTCAAGCCGACCCATTCGTGCCGAAGCATGGCTCTCCCACTTATGATTAGAAAAGTCTGCTTTGGATTGTAATTACAATTAATAACCTACTAGGTGAAATTATTTTTAGTAACGTTAGTAGGTATAACTAGAAAAGGGCATACACAAGTATTATTCTTAATTTTACTATCGGACACCATGAGTTTGGCAATCTGTGGGACATTTTTTTTAATAATATCTAAAAACTCCGAAGAAGTGGAATTCTTTGAAGGAATCAGTGTCCCCAAAGGGTGTTTATAAGTGAAAAGGTTGCGTAGGTAGGCGGATTCAATTGTTGACTGCACGGTTGGTGCGGTGGCTGGGCAACTGGCTGCCGTGCATCGTGTCGCGGGTTCGATTCCCGCACGGAACAACTCATTGTGTGAACCACAAATTGTTGTTCCCGGTCTAGGTGTCATATGTATGTGAAATTGTATGTTTGTAACCGCACCCACAACACAGGAAAAAATCCTAATGTGGGGCAACGAAAAAAAAATTGTTACACTTTGGAACTACTTAACAAACAGCTTCACTAGAAGACTGACTGACAGACTGACACTTTTTTGGTATTGGATTATTTTATGTTACGTTAAAATCATTATTCTATAAGAGCAATTCGTTGAAAAGGTTAGCGCGTTCGAAAAATATGTAGAAGAGCTGTTCTCAATTAATCCACCTAAGTCGTTATCAATACATAGTATAGAACAAAGTCGCTTTCTCTGTCCCTATATCCCTATGAATGTAGTTGTTGTTATTCTTTAAAACTACGCAACAAAGTTCGATGCCGTTTTCTCAATAGATAGAGCGATTGAAGGGAAAGGTTAATTTCTATAATAAAATCCTTTAAATAGTGGACAAATTTAGTACCACTTGAAAAGCCGGGACGTATCGCTAGTAAAGGACATGGCCAATTTATGTATGGGCGTTTGCATAGTTATGGAATTCAATGTACATCAATAATTTTTGGTGTTTTACATTCGTGAATATTATTACATTAACTTGCAATAAATAAAACACATGAAGAACTTGTCATTACAACACACTAGACGAAAATAGTTTAAATTTTACTTTAGTATACTTGTTGTTACAAAAATGTTAGTATAGATAGTAATACAACAGTTACCTACATACAGAGAAATAAACTATTATTTTTTATACTATGTTAAGAATTAACTTAACATAAACACTGAAGGTCGAGCAAAAAGGTGAAATATGAGACAGTCCTTACTAACGAATATTTATGGACACCCTAATAACCTTTAAGTTAGCTATTGTATTGTATTATAATATGGCTCTTGATTTGCATACCTTTGCACGCTACGGCTGAAGTTGGCGACAATGTTGGCCGTTTGGTCACCAACATAATATATGTGTATATAAATATATATACATATTATATCAGCCCTAGGTCACACCACAGTTGTACAGTAGAAACTCTTCCGCACTGCGACCGATTCAAAACCGCGTCGAAACAGGTCTTGAAAAATCGGTCAGAATTCAGATGGATTATTAATTTTTAAACTTTCGCGTTTCATATTAACAACATAAATTACGCGGGAAAATAATTATTTAAATTACAAAACGTCAAGCCTACCAAACGTCAAGTTTACCAAGGTATTTAAATAATTATTTTCCGCGTAATTTATGTTTTAGATGGATTCTTGGAAGATATCTGATAATGGATAATGGATACCGTACGTTTTCTTTTATCCTTTTTTTGTGTTGAGAAAATTATCAAATGACTTCTCCCGCCTAGGAACGGTGGGAGGAAGTGTCAGACTCTTACTGACTAATAAACCCCCTGTTCCTTCTCCTGCTCTAGGCCGAGGTCACGGTGCCTCATTGCGCTTAATCCCTTATCCTTAAATCCCTGATAACCCACAAAAAGCTGACACAGCACTTTTTATGAGATTGGTCGGTAAACTAGCAGATGGATTACGTGATGGTAAGCAATCAGCGCCGCCTATGAACACTCGCAACATCAAAGGAGTTACGATTGCTTTACTGGCATTATGTGAATAAGGGGTTTTAAGAATTCAAAGATTGGGTAGGGAAGGGGCAGGGTAAGGATTGGGTCTTTAGTAACTGTAGATGTTACATACTAGCTTTCTGTGAGGCCATGGTATCACTCCGGTCGAGCCGACCCATTCCTTTATGGAATGAAGAGCGGCTCTCTTATACTTGACTACAAAATTGGGAGATCTCCTATCCTTAAAAACCGAATAACCTTCAAGAGACCAGTAACGCACTTGAAATAATTCCTTTGGTTTGACAAATGTACATCAATTAATACGTCGACTCATTTGTCTGTCGATGTATCCCTTATAAAAACCAAAGAATTAGTTCTACTAGATTTGAATCGGATAGAAAGCAGTGCGAAAGCGTTTTCACGGTTTTTAAACCGCATGTACTTTTAAAACTAGATACCAAAGCATGCCAGTGGTTGAAGTTGCTGTTTTTCCCTAAACTGATATTGAGCGCCTGTTTTTCCAGCTTCATATAAATAACCGATAATCTTACCTGGCACATGGAAAATACGAATAAAGTTCTTTAATAAAATTTACTTGGTATTATAAATAAACTGTAAATGATGACTGGTATTCGAAAGAGTTATCATCATGATAAAATCGAGTCAAAAATATAATGTTCACATATATGTATGTAAATATGAACTTTATCGCTTAGATAATTAAGTCAACATTTTATATACATTTTTGCGTACCAGCGTGATATTGAGCGAGAATTTTTGATGACCTACTATTTTGTATAGGAACTATCGTTAGACATGTTAAATTTATAAAAAAATAACGACTTACACGCGTGAATTAACTAAGAAAAGCTCTACTACTCGTATTTTCAAGTCACAAAGGAGTCCCCTTGTTGATGAGGAGTTTCTTGCTCGTTCTTCTCCATCGGAATCTACACTTTGGAACGAGCAAATAGCTTCACTGGACTGACCGACAGACTGACACTATATTTTCAAAATTTTGTTTGACGTCCAAAAGTGCCTGTAAAGGTCTGATTGGAATAAATGATTTTTGACTTTTGATGAGCAGAATTTGTAATTTTCTTTTCAATTAACTTACTGTTTAATTATATATTCCTAGTTTACGTAAAAAACAGATAGTTTTGAAATATGCTTTTGTGTCTAAAATAATTGAAGGCTGGAGAGTTATATAGGCTACTTTTTACCGTTAACCAGGCGATTTTATTAATAGACATAAAGATAAACACAGAATCGTCGTCGTAGAGATAACCATAGCAACTTGGTTTAACACTACGCTACGACACTGCGTACCTAGATATTTCGTAGTAAGAGTTTTGGTGATGCGTAGCGATTGCATAGCTGCGACTTACGTGCTACGGAAACTGTGTAGATAAATCGTAGTCACTTCGATGCTACGAAAACATTAAGCTGATATGTTCGTAGTCACTTCGGTGTGGAGTAGCTACGACGTAGGTGTTTTATACTCACTGCGTAGACTATCCGTAGTCTAGAAATAACGTAGGTTCTTCGTAGTGACAGCGTAGACATGTCAAAGTAACTTCGCTACTGCGTAGTTGTTGCGTAGGTACGGCGTAGTAGCTAAATAGATATTTAGTAACCACATTATGGATATCGACGTAGTATTTGGTAGATTGAGTATTTAACTTGAGTACAATTGAATTTCCATTGTTGACAATAGTATGAAAAGTAACAAAATATATTTACACAGTAGAACAGAATTGACTAGTTCATTAAGCAATGTTGTTTTTCAAAAAGTTTTATTTAATAGTTGTAGTAGGATTATTACTTCTCCGTGTTAGAAGAGGCTTTTGTTCAGCAGTGGGCACTTACAGGCTGATGATGATGATGATGATTGCCATCCAGCCTTTATAAAATACAGCTCTTATGAAACTCATGGGAGGAGAAGGGACGATGACCATTTAACCCTTTTTGTGAGGGTAAAATCATCAAATCACTTCTCTCGCCCAGGGTAGAGCTGAAGAAAGTGTCAGACTCTTACTGACTTTAAAACGCCCCCGTTCCTTCTCCTGCTTTAGTCAGAGGTCGCAGTGCCTTATTGCGTTTATCCCGTAACCCCAGCTCAATAGCCTTATAGAGCTCCATGTGTGGGACCAATTCTCCTGCTCCAGGCCAAGGCTGCCGTGCCTTATTGCGCTTATCCCGCGCCTTATAGGGCCCCATCTGTGGGACTAATGAACTCTCTAATCCCATATTTCACGGTTGCAGCTCGACCATGCTCAAGGCAGGCGGAATGCGCGGGCATCAGCAGCAGTTCCTGTGTCCGCACTCACTACGATCCTGTCACCCGTTGCCTGTGTGGAGACAACCAGCCGCCCGTCAACGGACAATGTGATTCGCAGACCAAAGGTAAGTCAGAAAAAATGAAGGTCACATCTTCATTTAAAAAACTAGCTACTCTCGCGCGGTTTCACCCGCTGCTCCAACTCGACTTCATTTAATCGTAGCGTGATGTTTTATAACCTATAGCACTCAGGAATATTGTAGCTATCTATCAGAGCAAGAATTTTGACAATCCGACCAGCGGTTCCAGCGGTTGTTCCCTACATACAAACTTACAAATTTTACCTCTTTATAGTATTACTCGTAGTATAGAATCCCGAATTGTGTTGCTAAGCGTATAACTCGATAACGCAGATGGGACTCACTAGGGCCGATGTCCAATCAAGAACGATCATTTTAAGCTTTAATCTTTTTTCAAAAGATTACAAGACTATAAGTGAATATTACTAGAAGTTTTTTTATGATATGATGGAAAACTGACAGGCCTATTATCTGATAGTAAGCAATTGGCGCCGTCCCTAGACACAGTGGAGTTACGAATGCGTTGCCGGCTTTATGGAGATGATAGTTTCGAAGATTTATGGATGGGAGAGGGGAAAAGATTAGGCCTCCGGTAACCTCACTCAGACGGCGAAACACAACGCTGTGGTTGTTTCACACCGGTTTACTGTGAGGCCGTGGTATTACTCCGGTCGAGCCGACCCATTCGTGCCGAAGCATGGCTCTCCCACACTTAAATTATATGGGATAAAGCTGGTTTTAGGGTCTATCTTAATAGAAAATAGGTAGGTATACTCTAAATACGCCTTAGTCAGAACTTTCTTGGTATAAAAATCAACTATTCATGTCAACCAGTAATAATTATTCGAAACGAGTAATGAATTAACGAATAAGAGCGAGTAGCGAGTGGTTTTTAAATAGTGATTACATCTATAATTTGTGTTTCACACGAGAGCTTGGGGAGCCAAAATGCTTACGATTTCACACGATATATTATTTAGGGTTCTTTAAGTAAGAAAATTATTTTCTTTTTGGTTAACAAGAAAGAGTTTTATATTCTTCTACAGTTAAACTCCAACAGCCTTATACAATATACAAAACGAGGATTTCTTTAGTCTAGGTCTAAACCATTGACACAGTTTTTGTAATTCAAATTGAAGGTAGGTGAGAAAAAGAATTTTTCTTCCAGAATATTCTTACCAGAAGATTCTGGAAGAAATAGCTTTTTCAATTGTACTGTCATTTGCCCCTTTTGTTATCTGCGTTTTTATAATAATGGTGTGAAATAAAGAATAATCTATATCGGTGATCGAGTTATTCCAGTGACATTTTCAATGCGGTCATGGTATCTCATTCCAGTCGAACTGGACAATTCATGCAGTAATGTGACTCTCTTACAGTCAAAGGGATTTGTAATTATTAACTTTTCTTTTGTATAATAAAAGGATCCAGCTGCCCAGCTTGATCAGGAGAAGGAACGGGGTTTAGTCAGTAAGAGTCTGACACCCGGTTTCCGAAAGGCCGATCAACTGACTGAATTATCAACAACTAATCAGATAACTTGACAAGAGATTTAACAGGAGTAAGTTAATTTTAGCGTTGACAAGCCTTTCTTTCTGAAAGGCTGTGAACGGGTGTGACACTCTGACACGCCTAACCCAGGATAAACAATGTAATCTGTTTTTCACAAAAAGAACGTAGAAAACATAATTAATTTAGAATGCGTCAGAAAAATTGATATTATTACAGAAAACTTCCGTTTTCTGTAATAATATCAATTTTTCTTAAAAAAGACTTAAAAAAGATCTTATTTTTACTTGTCTGCTTCCACAACAGTATCTAATTATTTACCGAATCGAATAACAGATGGCGCTACTATATATTAAGGACATGCTATTTATTATTAACGCGAAAGTTTGTGAGTATGAATGGATGTTTGTTTATCGTTCACATAAAAACTGCTGAATGGATCTCAGTAAAATTTGGCACAGTGAAAGATTATAATCTAGGATACCACATAGACTACATTTTTAACCCTGAATAAACATTGATTTACCTATATATTTCTATAGCCGATAGCATGCTAGTCACACATAAATTACTTTATTGTCGAATAAAACAGCAAGTAATAGCTAGTACAACAAAATTATACGGCTAGGGAACCCTTGGGCCCGAACGTACTTGACCACATTTTTATAATTTGCTACTCAAACGCTATAAGTGTCAAGGTTTATTTTCCTTTGTAGGTAAGTTATATTTTGAGTGTAGATAAGGAAAACTTAATTTAGGTTTATAAGCACATTATATTATATTGGTTAAAAACACTTTTATAGAGTCGATTTTTGTTTGAAGACCGTAGTATTTTTTTTTTCTTCGTTATAAGGCGGCATTTGGCCGCTATCACGCCTGTTGGTAAGGGGCGATGCGACCGACGATGGAGCACGTATACCCATATAGAAATAAAAAAGAAAGAAAACCGTTCATTCTAAACTCGCACAGGACAGTAAATATATTCAAAAACAATTTACATTTTAAACAGACAAAAATAAAAATAAAACGAAACAACAACAAAAAAGATTAACAATGAAAAGAAACAATGAATTTATTTTTGCAAATATAGGCCATAAAACGGCACTTTTACACGTCAATTTATATGTGAAAAACTAGATGAAGCTGGTATTTCCTACCTTCTAACTCAGAGGTCAGTCTCTTTTCAAGTCCAGACAATTTAAAAATAACATAACGTGAGAGACCCGTGGAAGTACATTCTGTAGTGATCTTTTGATGAAAGAACCACACCACACCAGTAAGATTAAAAATAGTAAAAGACCTGTGCTAGGTCAAAAAAGTTTCTATCTCAGCATATGCAACCTATTCACTCGGGCCTTGAAGACACCCAGGTTATATCCTTCAGGGAACACAGACTCCGGCAAAGAATTCCACTCCTAAGCGGTTCTGATTATAAAACTGAAAGCACCTCCTTCCTGCGTGTGATTTTAGAGAAGACTGAAGTTCCCTAAGATAGGAAAAGGGGGATCTTCCGTCTACTTAGATGCCTAACAGAAATATTTTGGGATTTGAAAACAAATGACGGATATTGACGTAGTTTGGGTTGGACCTCATCTGGCAGCACGGAATCGCATTCATTCCGCCTGTGCTACCACGTGCTGCAGTATGCTGCCGCATGCGAAAGCGCGCTATCGCATTCCGCAGATAAAAAAGGCGATCGCACAAAAAGGTGAAAGGATACGTTAGCATGCTATCGCACGCTTCAGCGTTCCGGAGTCTCCCTGCCGACCATTGCATTTTGTCCGTGATGCCGATCGCCTCGAGGATCTCGCCGCGTGCTATCGCATTATGCTTTCTGTCTCGGTCTAGCAAATGGCAGTTTTAAGCGACAAAAAGAGAAAAAGAGAAACATTTGTGTATAAGGTTTCTGAGATTAAGGGGTCATTGTATCTCACTCACACGGCGAAAAACAAAGCTGTGGTTTTTTCACGTCGGTTTTCTGTTAATCCTTGGTATAACTACGGTCGAGCCGACCCATTCGTGCCGAAGCATGGCTCTCTCGCTATGAGATAGTTAAAAAATGCTCAGATTTTGTTTTTAATTAAAATTCAACATCTTTTCAGCTCTCTACCACGTCTGCGCGAACAGTGACGAGTGTAACGATGGACTTATCTGCGGAACCCCCAACGTGACGGGCACGACTCCCCTCCACCTTAGAGTTCACCCCCCATCAGAGAAGATCTGTCTTTGCGATGTGGACTCTGGGTTCACAGAAAAGGAGCACGCTTGTAACGGTAAGAAAGAATTTGCAGTTTTTTGTTTCACTTTTATAATGTAGCGGTGGCCCGCTTTTCAAGTAGGTAAGTATGTGACTTTTTCCGAGTTATAAGTTCTTTCGAAAGACAAAAGATACTATATTTAGTCTCACAATTGTGATGTAATGGTGTCGCTCGGTACGCAAGTGGATATGTGACTTTTTCCGATTTATATCATCATCATCAGCCTATATGTGCCCACTGCTGAACATTGGCCTCTTCTCATACGGAGAAGGTTAGAGCATTGATCACCACGCTTGATCAATACGAGTTGATAATTATAATTAGAAATTACAAGTCCAGGTTTCCTCACGATGTTTACCTTCACCGTATGTCAGTGGTGTCTAAATAATCATAGAAAGTACATATAACTCGGAAAAAGTCACATTAGTACAATTGCCAGGTTTCGAACCTACACCCTCATGTATGAGAAGCGGGCTCCTTAACCTACGGGCCACCACGACATGTACATGTACATATCACACCGAGTTGTATATGTACCTACTTTCTTCGGCAAAAGAGGAGAGGGATAACCTGGTGACAAGCATTCGGAACTGCCCATGGGTAACACCATAGGTGTTACTAGTGATGAGTCATTAAATGAGTTACGAGGGATTAGGATTACGTAATCCGGAGATTTAGGGATTGGGGTAGCATTGGACCTCCAGTAACCTCAGTCACAAGGCGAAACAAAACATAAATCCGGTTTTCTGTGAGGCCGTGGTATCACTCCGATTGAGCCGAACCATTCGTGATGAAGCATGGCTCTCTCACACTTAAAATTGCTACTTCTTACTGTTAAACTTTATTCGTTACCTAAGTATTGTTCTTTTTTAGGGCAAAATAAAAATACGTACTTGTTTTTTATTTTTCATTTATTATGGAATAATTAGATTTTAATACCCAGTTATCATGCCTGTTCCGCGCGCTCCTTAAAGAGCCAATAGACAATCACAGACGGGGCCCTACAGAGCCGATGTTCAGCCGGGGTTGCGGGGCAAGCGCAAGGAGTCAACGCTGCCTCGGCCCAGAGCAGGAAAAAGAACGATGTGTTTTTAGTCAGTAAAAGTCTGACACTCCCTCTCGCTACAGCCAGGCCAGAAAAGCCATTTAATTTTGATCATCCTCAAAAAAAATCCCTATTGTTGTATTATTTTAGTAAGTCATGTATTTCATTTCCCAGATGCCGAAATTCTCAAGACATCATTGATAGCCATCTTCGTGGTGTCCTGCATAAGGAAGATCCTAGCTAATTAAATTGTATTAAAATTTATATTATTTTAATTACAATCACAAACTAAAAACTCATTAAAATATCATGGTTTGTTAACATTTCACGTTTTTTAAAAACTAATTGGAAAAACTGGAATTAAAAAAATGGAATGTTATATTAATGGATCACCATTCTGGGTAGTCCATTCTGACAATGGAATATTGGATTAAACAGGAAAACCGTTAATGTACGTTTTTTTTTATTCCGGCTTTTCCAATTGTAGAGAATTGATTTATAGGTTAATTAAAACACATCACGGGTTTTTAGAAATGTAATTTAATTAAAAAAAGAGATATATGTGAAATTAAATTTTACAATAAAATAGTAAAAAGCTAATTTAATTACTAAATAATATTTGCGAATTTATTCATAAAAATTTAATTAACACACAAAACATTCAGTACAAAACGACACTAGTAAATTTAACAGCTTTTAAATAAAAATATTAATAATTAAAAATTAAAAATGTCGCTTAGAATTTTAATTATTAAGTAATATAAAACGTCCATTATAAATTAAGATTAATAATGTATAATAAAATAGATTTATTATCATGATATGACATTTCTATTAAGGTTCATCTTAAAAATTATTTTACAAAATAAAATATATATTAATTCTCCATTTAAAAATAATCACAAAACATTACACATATTCTGTACCTTATATTAAAAAAATATGTTCATTCAGTACTTAATTAATAAGTAAACAAAATAACAGAAATATCATAATTTCATTTCATAGGGCTGAATTTTCAATAGCCAGATAAATGTTACCTAAGGAATAAAATTGTTGCTGTCACTGGCTTATACAAACATTCTGACGCGACAGCATCATAATTATTCCACAGGTAACATTTTTCTAACCATTAAAACATCAGTCCTAAATTAAATTATTTTTTAAAAAGGTAAAGGCAATAGCAACGTACCTACCTTTTTTCGTTGCTACCTAACTATATATTATGAACACAGTTACAAAAAAAAATTAACAATAGAACCTCCTTTCTCTAGAATCTCACCAGATTAGAGATAAATAATAAAATAACTAAATAAGATTAGAGAAAAATATTAAAATAACGAAATAAAATATTTGTACCTAAATCAATTTAATAATATTTTAATCGTAAATATAATTTTTTACCATGGAATCAATTTAAATCCAATATTAAAAATTACTTTCTTTCATATTGTCATTAAAAATATATGTTTAAAATCAAAAGCTAAATACCTATCAATTTATTGACTAAATTATCTTTTAAAATGTACTTAGATACACACTTAGATGAATGTGTTTGTTTCACAAGATTATTTTGTTATTTGTATAATTTTTAAAGAAGCCATTAATTATGTCATTAAGAAATCGTATTTGAAAATTGTAGAAGCATTTTTAGAGTATCAACTATTATGTAAAAGTTTGCGAATTAATAAAGTGTTTAAAGTATAACTGTTGTTTATTTTTCTGTTTAAATAATATTACATATAGCGAATGGGAAGACCGTGAAACATACGAAACAGCAAAACCTTATAATGTACCGCATTTTCAGATGTTCAAAGTAGCGCCACCTAGTAGTGAAAGGGTAACAATTCGAAATTGACGTAGTACATGAAATGCACAATAGATGTCGCTGCCATGGAGAATTGTATGTAGAGTTGTTGTTTTATAATACAATATAACTAAATATATATAAAAATATATATATAATCTGTTACCAAAACAATAAAATAAGTGCATATTAATGTATTAACATGATTTAATAATACTTAGTTAAAATCTTTTTAATCTTACACTTCAAACCGAAATAATATAATGCTCAATATTTTCCTCATGTTACATCAGTACACAATTAATAATTATAAATTGAAAGAAAAAAACAATTGTGACTTCACTGATCTTCCAGAAAAACCTAGTGTGAAATAAATATATTGATTTGCTCAGCTGCGACACATATTTTAGTATAAAATAGCAATTTATAATCAAATAAATACGCTAAGCGTATTTTTTGCCAAAATAGCGTAACGTGATCAACGTGAATGGAATAAATCACTCGTAAAATAATCAAAACAAATGACGCATTTCTATAAGTGACGTCATCAGGCGCCATATTATTTCATCGTAATACAGTGTCACATACCGATCTACAATTTCGACCTTCTCAACAACTGGTTCCGTGGTGTAGTGGTTATCACATCTGCTTTACACGCAGAAGGCCGCCAGTTCGATCCTGGCCGGAATCATATCTTTTTGGTCGTATTCTATATTAGAATCTGCTTTTAACCTTTTTTATATTGTTTTTATATTGTTTTTTATAATAAAAAAAAATCTTTTATTAAGAATTAATACTTTTAAGCATATGAAATTTGGTAATTTCGTTCAAGTATTTTATTTGATTTAAAGACTCGAAAAATGTGTTCTTGACCTTTATAATCTTACTTTGTCGTTATGCTCAGACGGGATACCCGGGCCTGAAAAAAAAAAGGAACGGGGCGGTGTTCAGTAGGGTAATTAAGGTAAGGGTCTGACACTTTCTCTCGCCTACTCGGGGCAGCAATTACATGACTATGACACCGAAAAAAATATGTTTCGCTGTGTAATCTATACTAATACTATAAAGAGGTAAAATTTGTACGTTTGTAAGTTTGTATTTAGGGAGTAATCTTTGGAACCGCTGGTCGGATTGCCAAAATTCTTTCACTGATACATAGCTACAATGTTCCTGAGTGCTATAGGCTATAAAATATCACGCTACGATTAAATGGAGCCGAGCAGCGGGTGAAACCGCGCGAGAGTAGCTAGTTTAGAATATGAGAGGCCCAAATCAATAGTGGTTATATCCTGTTTGGCCCAAACCCTTCCTCTCCCTCATGCATCAAATCTCAAACCCAAAAAGGTCCGGAACCCAAGGAGTAACCTCTTTTTGGTGTTGCATATGTCTACAAGCGGCGCTGGTTGCTTACCATCAGCTAATGCGTGTAGAAATAAGCTAAAACGGAGTTACGAGTTGCCGACCTTTTGGGGATTAGGAATATTTAAGGACCAGCTTTTGCCCGCGGCTTCGCTCGCGTTAAGAAATATTATTATTAATTAGGTATAGATTTTGCGGCTTTTTGTTTAGCGTGTGATGAAAATTAAGGCTCTTCTTCATCAATCTTTAATTTTAGCTCAACAAGTCGAAAATCTAAGAAGATTTATACAAACTTTCATCCCCTATATTATCCCCTTGAGGGAGCAATCCTCCTCCTCACGCCCCAGCCGCCGCAATAGGCGACATTCCGGGCGTCGGGGATCGAGAGACGATCTCCGGCCAACGTAAGCGCGGGTCTGCGGTCGACGAGTAAGGGCAGCTCGCCGCCCGACCAGAACCAGGCCCGGGCGTACGGCGCGCGCCTCAAAGAGCCAATAGACCATCACAGACGGGGCCCTATAGGGCTGATGTTCAGCCGGGGTTGCGGGGTAACCGCAATGAGGCACCGCGACTTCGGCCCAGAGCAGGAGAAGGAACAGGGGGGTTTTTAGTGAGTAAGAGTCTGACACTCCCTCCCGCCCGGCCCTGGGCGGGAGAAGTCATTTGATGATTTTCCCCTCACAAAAAAAAGAGGTGGAATTTATCAAAATCCTTTCTTATCGGATGCCTACGGCATAACATCTACCTATATGCCAAATTTCAGTCCGATCCGTCCAGTGGTTTGGGCTGTGCGTTGATAGATCACTATATCAGTCACCTTTGAGTTTTATATATTCAGAAGAAGAAGTTTGAAAAGGGATTGGGTAGGGGAATGATTGGGGGTCTCCGGTAACCTCACTCACACGGCGAAACACAACGCTGTGATTGTTTGACACCAGTTTTCAACCGGCAACCGGCAACCGGCTGCCACGCAACGTGCCGCGGGTTCGATTCCCGCGTGGAACAACTCTTTGTGTGATCAACGAATGGTTGTTCCGGGTCTGGGTGTGATGTGTATGTGAAATTGTATGTTTGTTACCCACGACACAGAAGAAAATCCTAGTGTGGGGCAACGTTCTAACTAAAAAAAAATAAGTTTTCTGTGAGGCCATGGTATCACTCCGGTCGAGCCGACCTATTCGTGCTGAAGCATGGCTCTCTCATTTGATTTGTTTAACACGTTCACGGACGCTACCACTTGAGTCAGTGTAACAGAATGACACAGTAAATGTGTATACAAAATTATACGACGTATCAGTACGTTGCGTCCCATGAAAAAATATTGTTTTAAATACATCGTGACAGAACCGTTTTATCACGTCATCGTATAAATACGTTGTGTCATTAAAAGTAATGTAATACTAGATGTATAGGGACACAACGTGTAATAACGTCCAACGTGTAGATACGTTCTGGCACATCATATTATGTTAACGACAAGCAGTACCATCACAACGTACCTATGCGTCCAACGTGAAATAACGTTCTGTCACTTTTAGTGTTAAGATATCATATGATTGGGTCACAACGTATTATGCCGACGACGTTTCTATACGTGTTGTCGTGTCATAGTGAGATGAAAAATGATGCCTTTAACAGAACGTCATTATACATTCAAGGTATCTAAATGTTTTATCATAATGCACGTGAAAATAAATAAATAATAAATTAAATTCATATATGATCGATATAAAATAAAACTTAAAATATGAAAATCAACCATTTATTTCTTTAATAATAATTTTTCAGTCTTAAGTAGAAACTATTGTTACTTAATTAATCACAACCATTCACTTGCATAATTATATTTATCACAAAAAAGCAACTTCTGCATAAAAATAAAATGTAATCAACAGAACAATCAAATCTAAAACAACTAATAAAAAAATTCAGTCTGTCGTTTAGGAACTCGTAACATTATCAGTCTCGTGCCATTCTTCAAAGCACAACGCACAAAGTGCAGGCTTATCTTTGCAGCCCTTACATCTTAATCCAGTTTCCTTGCGGCGTTTATTCTTTGCACACATTTTGCATTTAAGATAGTTAGTAGTTTTTTTGGAACCAGGAGGAAGTGGAATCTTTTCAGGCCAATGTCCACCACTGCCATTTTCGGGTTGTGTTGGGGAAGGTCTTGGGTGTGCTGTCCTATCCACTCTTCTATTGTCGTTCTTGGAATGCTTCAATAAAAGTTCAGGTCTTTGAGAAAGGCTAATACCAATTAAAGTTCTGATTAAATCTTCTCTAAAATGTAAAAATTCATATTTCTTACTGTTATTCATTTTGTATTTTCTATACAAATAAAAACTGTTCCATACAGTTAAATCAAGTAAATGAAAAAATACCTTTTTATACCATCTCAAACATTTTCGCGGAGACGAATAATAGGACACCATCTGATCAGCGCGGTCAATACCGGACATAAATGCATTGTAACTCACCACTTCTATAGGTTTTCTTTTTAATTGTCCGCGCTTATTTGCAACGTTAATCATTTTGGGATGATCCTTTGTAGTAATCATGGTTACGGCTCGCTTATCAACCCACTTTGAAACATATACGTTATTTTTCCGTACCCATACATGTTCGCCTTTCTTTAACTTTTTGTGCATAACGTTTTTCGGGTTTTCTTTACGGCTTTTTCTGAGGGTGCCCACAGTATGAGTTTTGAGATCAAGCAGTTTTTGAGACAAACCGTATGAATTATAATAATTGTCCATAAACAATTCGTGGCCTTTTAAAACATAAGGTCTCATAAGCTTCATGACAGTTTTATCAGTTTTTTTTTCCTTGTTCCAAGTCAGTCGAGTCATCTTTGCCGGTATACATTAATATATTTAAAACATAGCCGTTTGCTTCCGTCAATTCGTAGAATTTGATCCCATATTTTGCCTTTTTGGATTTTATATACTGTCTAAACGATAAACGCCCCCTAAATAATAAAAGTGACTCATCCAAAGAAAGTTCTTTTTCAGGAGAGTAGCACGCTCGGAAATTTCTTGTAATGGCGTCCATGAACTCAGTTATTTTATTTTTGCCCTTGGCACCTAAAGGTCCTGTGCACAGGCACCTTAACAGTTGTTCATAGCGTCGTCCTGACATAGTTGAGACAAAAACAGGGTGATAATATAAACAGTCCGACAAAGTAAAAAGTTTTCGCTTTTGGGGTATATTGACTTGGGCACCAAGCAAGCACAGTCCTAAAAACTTCAACATTTCATTCTTGTCTGTCAATTTAAATGTGTAAGACCGACTGTGCCTAGTTTTCGGTCGATTAGTTTGACACATACTTGTACCGTATGCATTAGTGCATTCGACGAGATAATCTAGTATAAGAGGTGGAAACAGGCGGTTAAATACCTCAAACACGGTTGTGTTATTATCAATGGTGAATTTTACCCCCACATCACCAGCGTCAAAATTGAAATCCGGTATGGGTGCTGTAGTTTCTGACCAATCTTCTGTAGTTGAAGTTCTAGGATTAGGAGTATCCAACGCATTGGAGGGTTGGCCGGAACCTATTTGCTCCTCTTGAAGTATCTCGTCTTGGGGTTCATCGAATAATGGCGGTAGTATATCAAGGGACCTAAATTCACCTGTATTATCTAAGTTTTCAGCTAAGACATTAGAAATAAGTGATAGAGTCGACAAACCCACGGTCTCATTTTGAGAGATGTTGTGTGAAGATAAGATATCCTGAGTCGTCCCACGAGGTGATGTTTGAACCAGATTTTCAATAATTTCAGGTTCCAAAGGTATATGTCCTTCTTCAATGACCTTATTGGGACCTTGATTCACAGTAGGTACGGTTGTAATTGGAGATTTAACCAATTTTAAGCGTTTGGCTAGGGGGAAAATTTCTTCTGAAGAATTCGACTCATAGCCTGCAACCTCCTCTTGAAAACGTGATGTGGTAGTAGGGGTTCGAGGTGGTGATGGTGTGTTAGCAGGGCACAGTGAATGATCACTCTCATCAGATTTGATATCATCTTCATCACTACTAGGATCAGAAGTAACATTGGATTCGGGCTTTCGAGTCGAAATACCGACCAAATTTGATTGACCCTTAGTAGTTTTTGTCGATTTCTGTCGGTAATTTTTAGAATAAGAACTTTCACTACCTGATGTACTTCCTTGTGGATCAAAATCTTTATCCGAACCATATTCTCCATCATCATCTTGGTAAGGATCCGGCTCGTTGGAGGTGTCGGAATCATCGAAAATGCTCAGCGGTCTTATTTTGCGCTTATCCATCTAAAACACATAAAATAACCCATTAAACATCAATTTCACACGTAAAATTATTAATTCACAGTAAAATAATATAGTTTCTAGCTAATGAATAATAAAATAATAACATAAACTAAATACTTACGATGTTTTGTCGCGGCAAATATTACGATACGCCACGAAATGTCACTTGAACGCGAGCGCACTCCCACAGTGACGCAGCCGCAATGAGTATAGGAGCGCGGTAGGAGCGCGGGACGTATAAACACGTTGTGCGTATGTGAGTACCTTAACCGCACACTATCAACGGCACTTATTTGAAATAGTTTAAAAATTACCCTACGTGACAGTACAGTGTTGGGTATTTTACATGTTGTGACACAAGATACATTCAATAGGATTTTAACTTTAACTTTCATCGGAAATGAACGTTGTGCCGTATAATTTAAATGTTATTTGAACGTCATCGTACGTTGTGCCATATCAAAATCTCGAACGATGACGTATAATCTCGTTCTGTCCTCGAACGTGTTAATGGAAGAGTGAGAGTATCGTTTCAGAGTCCCGTACAGAAGCTTGGCTCACTAGACTTTGAGTATGGCTGATCCTAATATACATACCTACATGTTACTGTAAAACTTCTAACCGAAATAAATGATAAAATCTTCTAGATTTAGTACCTACCTATATGCGAAATTCTACGCACGGATTACCTTTCCTACTATTCCAGTAATGTTTTAAATGTGAAATTTTGTGAGAATGATACCACGGCCTCACAGAAGACCGGCGTGAAACAACCACAGCGTTGTGTTTCGCCGTGTGAGTGAGGTTACCGGATGCCCAATCCTTTCCCGTCCCCAATCCCTCCTCAATCCCTAAATCTCCAAATCCCTAATCCCTAAAAGGTCGGCAACGCACTCGTAACTCCTCCGTTGCGGGTGTCCATAGGCGGCGCTGATTGCTCACCATCAGGTAATCCGTCTGCTCGTTTGCCGACCAATTACATAAAAAAAAAATGTATCCAGTATGTATGTTTGTTATTTTTTTACACAAAAACAGCTGGACCGATGTGGTTGAAATTCGGTTTGGTATGTAGATATATATTTTTATTAACATACCACGCGGGCGAAGCCGAGGTTTCAATTATAGGAAAATAAGTACATATATTCATTATTTTTTTTTGAGAAATCGTCTCTTAGGTTAACAGGTTAACTGCTGCAGAAAGCTACCCTGTGCAATAGTAATAACGACAGAGTATGAAAATCAAAAACTAATAATTCAATATATTAGGCAATGAAAAAATAAAGCACATTTTTTTCATAATCACTACTTCTATACCTACTAATATTATAAAGCGGTAAAATTTTTAAGTTTGTATGTAGGGTAATCTTTGGAACCGCTGGTTGAATTGCCAAAATTCTTTCAATGTTGCCTAGTGCTATAGGTTATAACATCACGCTACGATCAAATGGAGCCGAGCAGCAGGTGACACCACGCGAGAATAAGTAAGTAACTTTCTCTGTCCCTATATGCTTATGTATGCTTAAACATTTAAAACTAAGCAACGGATTTTGATGCGTTTTTTTTTTTATATACAGAATAATTAAAGGGAAAGGTTTATATTTATAATAACATCCATTAAATAGTGGAGAAATTTTGTATCAGCATAGCACTCGTGCAAAGCCGGGACAGGTCGCTAGTATGGTAAGTAAACAAAGCATGGGATATGGGGAGAGAACTGCATGAAAATTCATTCAGTAGTTCGCGAGTTTATCGCGAATAAACAAGAAGTTTTTTGTTACAAACTTATAATAAGTAAGTTAACTTATTATACTAAATGGTTTGTTTTAAGTTTGTCTGCAACACGTACAGGGAAAACCTGCACTCGAAGATGATATTAGCTACACTACATGAATAATTCATACATAAAGGATATTTTACAATGGCGAACTAATTTTTTTCTCGTTTAGTTTTTATTAAGCTCCGAACGAACGGCGGGTTGTAATCCGCACGCGTCTCAAAGAGCCAATAGACCACCACAGACGAGGCCCTATAGGGCTGATGTTCAGCCGGGGTTGCGGGGTAAGCGCAATGAGGCACCGCGACCTCAGCCCAGACCAGGAGAAGGAACGACGGTTTTTAGGCAGTAAAAGTCTGACACAATGGGCGGGAGAAGCCGTGTAATGAATCGCGCCAAAAGCGATGATAGGTTTCATCATTTGATCACTAACCACCAAGCTATCCATTTGGGCAGACCACGGCCAGACATTCAAAACTAAATCCTTTTTAAAGTCTATGCGGATGTAGGTATGTCTGTTGGTGTTTTAAGCAAAAACTGCCGAATAGATTATGATGAAACTTGGTACGGAGATAGTACATATAAGTATAAGTAGTCGGAATAGTTTTCTTCGTCTTGGTAAATGAAGACCCGGAAGGAAACGTTGGCAGGCGATAGAAAATAATAAAATCCAAATCAAAACTCATATTATAAATGCGAAAGTAACTCTGTCTGTCTGTTTATCTGTCTTTTCTTTACGCCTAAACTACTGAACCGATTTCAGTGAAATTTAAGTTTGGACCTCGAGAAAGGCCATAGGATAGTTTTCACACCAAAAATTTTCAGGAAGTCACTATTCCACGCGAACAGAGTCGCGAGCAAAAGCTAGTAAACAATTAAAAGGAGCTTTTAAATGTGTTCGATGTGAAATGAACCTTACAATGTTAACATTAGTAAGGAATATTATGTGAACAATCCGGTTTCCCCACACGCCCGCCAGTCAACTTTGTTATTTGTGATCGACTGGACGTATGTTTGTAGTCTTAAACTAACACTATTTTGTTTTTAAATATATTTCGTGAATCGGTAAGTGAATTTTTTTTATGTTTTTTTGTGGGACAGACGATCGAATCGAAGAACTGACGGATTACCTGATGGTAAGCAACCAAAGGAGCTATGAGTGCGTTGCCGGCGTTTGGGGATAAGGGTTTCGGATATTTAGGGATTGGGAAGGGATGGTGGAGGGGTAGGGATTGGGTCACCGGTAACCTCACTCACACGGCGTAACATGCTGTGGTTGTTTCACACAGGTTTTCTATAAGAAACGATAACCTACCGCTTCCCAGCTCGGAGCAGGAGAAGGAACCGGTCGGTTTATAGTCAGTAAGAGCCCTTTACGACGCACGCACAGCAGGAGAGTCAGTACGCTGCTCATGAGGAAGAACCCCTCTGTGGTTCGAAACTAGTAGAGCTTTTCTCAATATTATACACATGAGTAACCCGCGACTGTTAATCAATTTAGTATGTCTCACGATAAATATTATAAAAGTAAGAGAGTCCATTGAATTACTGTACCTTTTCAAAAAACTAAGTATGATAAGTGTGGGAGAGCCATGCTTCGGCACGAATGGGTCGGCTCGACCGGAGTGATACCACGGCCTCACAGATAAATAATTACAGCGTTGTTTTTCGCCGTGTTGAGTGTCGCCAGAGGTCAAATTTTTCTTCCTCTCCCTCAATCCCTAAATCTCCATAACCCTAATCCTCAAAAGGCAACGCACTCGTAACTCCTCTGGTATTGCGAGTGTCCATGGGACTCTGATGGCTTACCATCAGGTAATCCGTCTGATCATCTGTCGTTCTATCAGCAAAAAGATTTCAAAATCTTAATCTAAACACTACAAGTAACTCAAGGTAGGAAGTTTTTGATATGTTGGCATGTCAAATTTATAAACTTCCTAGATTTTTTCGGCATTGGCTGCATGCTGGCGATCACTCAAAAACGGAAGACCTTTTTTTAAAATGTATGATTTGATGTTTTTTTTTTATTTTTATTAAGAAGTGACAACAAGCAGTTACATTATTAAACTTACAACTATTAAATACAAAAAAGTTTAGGTTATAATGTAAACCACGGAGCTGTTAACAGGTAGGCATAATGAAAAAAAAAAAAGTACGCTAGGGCTTTGTAAGTATATAGAGTTAAATCGAAAGTAAATTAGCCCAAGGCAACAAATACTTATTAAAAAAGATACATCATAATTAAGCTTGGACAAATAAATTAATATTATTTATTAAATTGATTTAATATTTAATAGCGACCCGCCCCGGCTTCACATTGATGCAATGCTATAAAAACCGTATCAAAATCCGAAAAATAAGTTTTAAAGATTTGAGCATACATAGGGATATAGGGACAGAGAAAGCGACTTTGTTTTATACTATGTAGTGATTCATTGCAGTAGTTCGGAGGTTTACCCATTTACTTATGTATTCTGAGGAGGGAAAATCATCAAATGACGAAAGTACATACAACTCTTAAAAAGTCACATTGGTTCCTCATGCATGAGACGCGGTTGCCATAAACTCCGTGTTTGCCACTTATTCAATTAAAAAAGGTTTTTTGGCCAAAAACCCGAATTTTATCGCGACCTAAACAAGCTTATTTAGAAATGGTGTCAATGACTTTAAAGTTCTGTGTTTCATATCTTTATTTTTCCAAATTTAGCGTAATATACATACTTACTTCATCATCCTCATCATCAGCCTATAAGTGCCCACTGCTGAGCAAAGGCCTCTTCTCACACGGAGAAGGTTTGAGCATTAATCACCACGCTTGCTCAAAGCGGGTTGGCGATTTCAAACTTATAATTAGAAATAAAAGTCCAGGTTTCCTCACAGTGTTTACCTTCACCGTATGTCAATGGTGTCGAAATAATCATAGAAAGTACATATAACTCGGAAAAAGTCACATTGGTACTTGCCAGGTTTCGAACCCTCATCCATGAGAAGCGGGCTCCTCAACCTCCGGGCCACCACGACAACTACATACTTACTTACATATATATTTATACAGTGCCAATTATTGTTGACATGGTAAAGTTTAACTTAGCTTACCTTAGAATTATAGCAGCGGTAAGACCCTTTGAGGAGTGTCTTGAGAAACGCCACGGCGTCCTCACCTTCCGCCTGACGCAGGTGCTTACCGGGCACGGTAGCTTCGGTAGGTTCCTGTTTCGGATCCAGCGGAAGGACACGCCCCAGTGTCGTCATTGTGTGGACCACCCAGAGGACAAGGTGGCAGTGTGCCTTGCTTGGGCTGAGCACCGCCGTGTCCTCAGAGAAGTGATCGGCGGTGGCGACCTCTCGCACACATGACTCTATTCAATGCACATGCATACAATATTGGCAAGATTAAACTTTTCCTGTAATATGCAGTATGGAAATAACGTCAAGAACATCCATTAAGTAATTTTGTTTGCCAAGAATCTCCTTTGACGTAATAACAACAAAGGCCAGTTATAAAATAGAAAATATTATGGATGACGACAGTGTATTATGACATATTATAAATCTAATTAATCCGTAAAATAACATAAAGGAAAATATTATACAAGTATTTATGTATTTACGATGGGACTGCCATGTACAAAAGATCCTTAAAAAAATAAAGAGAAAAAAAAAGTATTTATTTATTTTTAACTTAAAACAAAACAAAACTTTGATAAGCCACAAACAGAAAACCGGCGTGAACCAACCACAGCGTTGTGTTTCGCTGTGTGGGTGGGGTTGTCAAAGCCTAATCCTTCCTCTCCCCCGATGGCTGAATCTCAGAAACCCATATCCCCAAAATGTCGGCAACGCACTCGTAACTCCTCCGTTGTTGCGGTTATCCATGGGAAGCGTTGATTGCTTACCATCAGGCGTATGCCCATTACCCATGCACATGTATGCGGATAACCTAACCGCCCGCATGCTTTAGGATGATGTTTAAAAGCCGGCAAGTACCAATGTGACATTTTCTGAGTTATGTGTACTTTCTAAGATTATTTAGACACCACTGACCTACGGTGAAGGAAAACCTCGTGAGGAAACCTCGAGTTAAAAGTTTGGAATGGCCTTTCCGCCTAAAGCAAGCGCGGTGATAAATACTCAAACCTTTTTCATTTGAAAGCAGCAATCTATACTAATATTATAAAGAGGTAAAATTTGTAAGTTTGTATGCAGGGGGTAATCTTTGGAACGGCTGGTCGGATTGCCAAAATTCTTTCACTGATAGATAGCTACAATGTTCCTGAGTGCTATAGGCTATAAAACATCACGCTACGATCAAATGGAGCTGAGCAGCGGGTGAAACCGTGCGAGAGTAGCTAGTAATAAATAATATCAATAATTGCATTAGCTAGTGAATGCGGGTTGAAACCCGTACCTACTCGTATCATTGTAAAATTTAAATAAGATAAAGGTACTTTACTGTTCAAACATTCTTAACATGCCATGTCTAACGTTCATTTTCCTTAAATCCCACAAATCCTAATATTATAAATGCGAAAGTAACTCTTGTCTGTCTGTTTGTCTTTTCTTCACGCCTAAACTACTGAACCGATTTCTGTGTTTGGTACAGACACAGTTTGAAACTCGAGAAAGGACACAGGATAGTTTTTATACCAAAAAATTGACGAGTAAAAGTTCCGTGTTATGGCCTATTTGCAAAAATAAATTCATTGTTTCAACAAAAATCTGCAGGAAGTCACTATTCTACGCGAAAAAAAGTCGCGGGCAAAAGCTTGGGTATTTTATAAATGCGAAAGTTTCTAAGTATGGATTTATGTTTGATACTCTTTCACAAAAAAAATACATATAACTTGGAAAAAGACACATTGGTACTTGCAACCTCTGGGTCACCACATCACACACATGCACATCCACATCAATGTATATAATATAAAGATGTGAATATAGCAGATTATAGCTTTCAGCTTATATATTTCAGCGTATTATAGCTTTTTCTAAAATAAAAACGTGGGATCCCTCTGAAATCCTATGGCAAAGCATATCACTTTTCGTTGTAATGTTATATAACTCAACAGCGCCTTAACCGATTCGGCTAATTTTGGTCTTAAATTATTAGTGGAAGTCCAGAAAAGATTTGAACGTAGAGAAAAAAATCTTGAAAAAGTGTAAAATCGACTCCCACACGGACGGAGCTGCGGGCGACAGGTAGTTATTTATAAACTAGTGGCAGTCTATGTGTGGGAGAGCCATGCTTCAGCACGAATGGGTCGGCCCGACCTAAATGATACCACGGCCTCACAGAAAACCGACGTGAAACAACCACAGCATTGTGTTTCGACGTGTGAGTGAGAGGTTACCGGGGGCCCAAACTCTCTCCCTCCCCCAATCCCTTCCCGATGCTTAAATATCCGAAACCCTTATCCCTAAAAGGTGGGCAACGTACTCGTCAGTCCTTTAATATTTCGGGTGTCCATGGCGGCGCCGATTGCTTACCATCAGGTAATCCGTCTGCTTCTTTGCGGACCAAAAAATTGAGAGAGACCAAGTTTAACTGGTTTAGGACTGATTTTTCAATACTCAGATAAATGTTATCTGAGGAATAAAATTGTTGCTGTCACTGTCGTATACAAACATTCTGACGAGACAGTATCATAATTATTCCCCAGGTAACTTTTATCTAACCATTGAAAAATCAACCCTTAGTATACCTTAACGTTCCCGAGCGTACGGCGCGTAGTGTTCCGCGCGCGCCTCAAAGAGCCAATAGACCACCACAGACGGAGCCCTATAGGGCTGATGTTCAGCTGGGGTTGCGGGGTAAGCGCAATGAGGCACCGCGACCTCGGCCCAGAGCAGGAGAAGGAACAGGGGTGTTTTTAGTCAGTAAGAGTCTGACACTCCCTCCCGCCCCGCCCTGGGCGGGAGAAGTCATTTGATGATTCTCCTCTCACAAAAAAAAAGCAACTTGTACCTAAGAACTGGTTTAAAATATCAAAATAGAATCGTAGGTAGTATTTATAAATATCTTGTCATTAGTCCTGTACCTAGATGCTAAGTAGTTATAAAAACTTGTTTTAATTATACTTAAACTTGTTGTAAGTTCGAAATGTGGTTAAAACAAAAGAATGCGGTTCAGTCACTTCATTGTCTTAAAAGTCTTTGCAAATGACCAATATAACCTTAAATACGTATATATAAAAACTAGCATTTGCCCGCGACTCCGTTCGCGTGGAATAGTGCCTTCCTGCAGATTTTTTGGTATAAAAACTATAATCCTCCTGTCCTTTCTCGAGTTCCAAACTATGTCTGTACTAAATTTCACAGAAATTGGTTTAGTAGTTTAGGCGTGAAGAAAAGACAGACAGACAGAGAAACAGATTTACTTTCGCATTTATAAAATTTGTTTGGATGAATCGCAAAGTGTGTTTTTTTTGTGTGATAGGTCGGCAAAACCAGCAGACGGATTACCTGATGGTAAGCAATCAGCGCCGCACATAGACACCCGCAACAATAGAGGAATTACGAGTGCGTTGCCAAGCTTTTGGGGATTTGGAGATTGAAGGATTATTGGAGGGGAAGGATTGGGCCTTCGGTAACCTCGGTTTTCTGTGAGGCCGTGGTATCACTCCGGTCGAGCCGACCCATTCGTGCCGAAGCTTGGCTCTCCTACACTCAATGTGTGTTGGTAAGCACACAGATAACTCAACAACGCCTGGACCAATTTTGCTAATTATTTTTTTGTTGCATTTATTATTATTAGGAGAAAGTTCTTGTCAAGGAAAATATTAGAAAAGTATAGGTGAAAATTGGGAAAAGTGACCTTATCGTTGTTAGCGACATAGTTGGACCGGTACGAAGCGGGAAAGTACGGCTAGTACCCGACTACGGCAAAGTTTAAAACAAAATTTTGACTTTAAACACGCAAAACAATTATAATTATTTATAGCCTATAGCATTCAGGAACATTGTAGCTATGTACCTATCAGTGAAAGAATTTTGGCAATCCAACCAGCGGTTCCAAAGATTACCCCCTACATACAAACTTACAAATTTTACCTCTTTATAATATTAGGTACTATACATATAACCAGTTTCCTTTTCGAAACAGGTTTTTTAATGTTTCTTATAATTTATTGTAAATAGGTAACTTCCTTATATATGATTTAAGTAGCCTCTTCCTCGGTAACAAACGAGAAATCTCATAATATTTCTCGATTTTTTCCTGCCAAACATTTTTGGTACATACCTAAATGTGTAGGTATAAAGTAAGACTCGTTCCTGCTTTTCCGAGGCCGCGGTTCCTCATTGCGCTTACCCCGCAACCCCGACTGAACATCAGCCCTATAGGGCCCCGTCATTTTTTTTTTTTGTGAGGGGTAAATCATCAAATGTCTTCTCCCGCCCAGGGCCGGGCGGGAGGGAGTGTCAGACTCTTACTGACTAAAGACACCCCTGTTCCTTCTCCTGCTCTGGGCCGAGGTCGCGGTGCCTCATTGCGCTTACCCCGCAACCCTGGCTGAACATCAGCCCTATAGGGCCCCGTCTGCGGTGGTCTATTGGCTCTATGAGGCGCGCAGAAAGCTACGCACAACTTCTTTTTAAATCCTAAATTTCGTTCTTGTTCTTAAAGCCAAAAAGGGTCGATGTCCAGTTGCCCCTGTAACTGCGGTTTACCACAGAAACATGTTAAAAAAATAATACTGTTTATTTTTACAGATCCTAAGTAAATAATTATAATGGTCGGCGTTCAATTTTAAACCGAAGAAAATTCTTGATAAAATGTTGATACCAATCGGGTTCCTGTCATTCGTCCTTGTGGCGTCATCTAGCGGACAGAGAGGTGAGTTCAAAGTTTATTTAATACATTACATCATTGGTAATTGGTTGCGATTTCTTATGGCAAAAAATGGCTTGAGGAATGCAATGACATTATTAGCTGTGACCTGATGAACTATACGAGTACAGCAGTGTGATTCTGTAAGACTTCATTCTAAAACTTCGAATCTGAATCCGCTGTGAGTAGTAGTACACTAGCGCTACACTTGCGAGTTGAACTAAATTGACCGCAACTAGGATATTCAAATAAAACGACGTACCTCAGAGCGAGGAATATTAGGGAATATCAGATATCCGATATACAAAAATAGCCTATAGCACTCAGGAACATTGTAGCTATCTATCAGTGAAAGAATTTTGGCAATCCGTCCAGCGGTTCCAAAGATTACCCCCTACATACAAACTTACAAATTTTACCTCTTATATTATAGTATAGGTAGATAAAAATATATTTCTTGTATTTAATTCATAAATTGTTTTCATTGGAAATAGTAAGCCTAGGTTTTTTTTTAAATTTTAATAACCATGTGTCTCGATACAATTTTTTTTTGCTTTTTATTTCTAGAAGGAGAATCCTGTGTGGATCAGTATGCAAACACAGTGGGCAGATGCACGGTGGTAGACCAATGCCAGTCGGCTAAACGAGACTTTCAGTAAGGTTTTTAACTTCATAACTATTTTATTAATAGGAGAATGATAATGGAAGACACACGCTCGCGCGCGCGTTCCCAGACACGCACACAAAAATGAACACGCATTTATAATAAATAATATATATTTTATAGTGTATTATATATATTATGTATAGTATTTTACTTGAAGACCTAAGTATTACCATTGTATTTCTTGACAATTGTAATTGATTTAATTTTGACATTCTTAATTATTATTGTTTTATTATTATTGTACTCAATTTATCTCAATTTTAATCTTCTAATATTATTTCTAATGTACCTATATTTTATTAAACATTATTTATTTAATAAATAATGTTTAATAAATAAATTATTCTGATTCTGATTCCTATATTTCATACTCCATTCAAAGGTTGTGTTGTGTGTGTAAGACCGCCCATTGTACACTCAATGTTTATAAGTTATCAATGAAACAATGAATTTATTTTTGCAAATAGGCTATAAAACGGCACTTTTACACGTCAAACTATATGTGGAAAACTAGATGAAGCCGGCATTTCCTATCTGACTACTCTGAGAAGAAATGCCGAAACAAACTCAGAGGTCAGTCTCTTTTCAAGTCCAGACAATGTAAAATAACATAATGTGAGAGAACCGTGCAAGTTCATTCTGTAGTAGTGGTGGTAACATCCTTTGTAACTATGTAGTGTACAATAAAGTATATAATAAATAAATTAATGATATCCCAATTAAGTTTGGGAGAGCCATGTTTCGCTTCACCACAGAATACAAGCGTGAAACAACCATAGCGTTGTGTATCGCCGAGTAAGTGAAGATACCGGAGGCCTAATCCTTCCCCTCCTCCAATCCCTAAGTCTTTTTTTTTTACTTGCAATAAACTAGTGCTTGACTGCGATCCCACCTGATGGTAAGCAGTGATGCAATCGTTGATGGTAAGGCGCACTTTATTAAGAGCCTATTCTCTCTAGCCTTGAAGACACCCAAATTGTATTCGGACGGAAAGACTGCAGCCGGCAAACTGTTCCAATCCCTTGATGTAGGCGGTATAAATGAAGAGGCAAATCGCCGGATCCCTGATCCCCAAAAGCACTTGCAACTTACTTACCATCAGGTAACCTGTCTGCTCGATTGCCGACGTATCGCCCAAACTCAACGAAACACAGCATTCGCTACAACTTAACATTACCATGTCTTTTCGCAGGTCGATTCAAAGTAAGTTCTGTATTCGTTTTCCAGGTTGAATGGTATTCGACCTACTTTCTGTTCCTACACTACATTCGGAGCAGCCATCGTATGCTGTCGGGACGGAACCAACATATTACAATCACCCACAACTAGAGATCGGGAGTAAGTATTCAATGAGAAACCATTAACAACAATGATAGCTTAGGAGCGCTCTACTAGTTTCAAGCTAAGACGGGACTCTCAGTCGACTGAAACTATTACAACTTTTTGTAATTCCCAGTTAAGTAATTTACGTGAAGGAAAGTAAAAGTGTACTTGGTAATTCTAGTGTTCTTTGCTGAAGAAACCTAATTTCTTTTTATTTTTCTGATCATATTATAATGCCCACGCGTATCTAACAAATATTTGTGAATCACACAAATAAGTATTTAGATATATGTGGAACAGGGTGTTAAGTTCCTCATCCTCCATTGAAAAGGGAGGATCTTCCGACCAGGCGAGGTGTTCGTGCCTGGTGGGCTACTGCCCGACGGTTGTTGTCGGGATATCTGTATGGGTGCTAATTGTGTTGAAAACTCTTATAGCGCAATGTAGACTCTTGCACGTGATTGGTGCTGTTGTTAATGTAGTGCGCTAGATGTCGCTACAAGTATTTGCTGCCGTGACAGGGCGTGATATGTATATGAAATTGTATGTTTATAAACGCGCTCACGATACCTACAGCAGAAAGTTTTAACAGCTTCTTATTTTGAATCGTATTTGGAACCAGAATGACTGTGCCTTATAAAACCGCGTTTAGCTTTCTGATTGGTTGTTTAATTTGGAGCTGGCCAATCAGTGCGCGGAACGTCATAAATGAGACTTTCGCAGATTCACATTCGGGATTCGATCAACCAATAAGACAGCAACTAATTTAAATTGTTTTTCTTTTATTTACAGTCAGAGACCTATTTGGGGCACAGCTGATGGAGGAACAAATTATAGAAGAAGAGTCAGCGAGAGAAGTAATAGCCACTTTTTTTTTAATTGGTCGGCAAACGAGCAGCCGGATTACCTGATGGTAAACAATCAGCGCCGCCCATGGATACCCGCAACGGAAAATTTACGAGTGCGTTGCCGACCTTTTAGGGATTAGGGATTTGGAGATTTAGGGTTTGAGGAGGGATTGGGGGCGGGGAAGGATTGGGCCTCCGGTAACCTCACTCACACGGCGAAACACAACGCTGTGGTTGTTTCACGCCGGTCTTCTATGAGGCCGTATGGTATCACTCTGGTCGAGCCGACCCATTCGTGCCGAAGCATGGCTCTCCCACACATATTTGTTTGATCAATGTGAAATGTTTGAAACAAAACGTTCTGTAGGGATGAAGCTATACACCGTCTATAGCTCCATCCCGCTTTCTCGCCCGAAAGATTCCCGCTTTAACACGTCATACTAGGCCCTCTGACCTGTCCACACTGCAATATTTCCGCCGCATCGCGTCGAGAGACAAGAATTCGCAATACTAAATTTAAATCACCTGGACGGTTATTTCCATTGGAACTAACGCGTTGCAGAAATGGAAAGAAATATCGCGCAAATTTTATTTTGCCGTACGAACAGTGGCGACGCGTAGCGCTTACAACATTTCCAAAAGCTGTCAAATAATAACAATGTAAACATTATAATTTTCTTTGCAAATATAAATAAAACCATTATTAAAATAGTATTGTTGACATTATTTAAGTGCAATATAGTCAATAGTTTTACGGTAAAATGAATATAATAATAAAAACCGACAGCTGATCGTCCGCATTTGTTTCCAATTTCTGCCGTGTTGTGCGCTGCGGTCGTTATCTGTCCGCCACTACTCGCTTTGCACATAGCCAATAACTATGTCCCTATAATTCCGCCGCGTACAGACACACTTCGATCACCTGTCTCACTCTTTTTTACTTACTAGCCATTCTAGAGTGATGACAAAACGGTAGAAGAAAACATACACATGACATCATCATCCCATGTTGAGCAAAGGCTTTCACACGAAAAAGATTTGAGCGTGTCCACGCTGTCTCAAAACGGATTGGCGTTTTTAAACTACTTACAATTAGAAATTACAAGGTCCAGGTTTCCTCACGATGTTATCCTTTACATCAGGTGTGTCTAGTCAGTGGTGTCTAAATAATCTTAAAAAGTAAATAAGTATAAGGTCACATTGGTACTTCGAACCCGCGTCCCCATGCATGAGAAGTTACCACAGACTGAATCACAGTGCTCTGCTAAAGGGTCCGGCAAGATACATTCTTAGTTTTGTGGTTTGTTTACAAACATTTCTCGTTGATCTCGATCTGTAGATGTCGCAGTTTAAAATAACCATTCAATTAATCAGCTAACCCTTTGGTCACAGTAAATTTTGAGAAGTTTTTGCAATGACGATTCCATTTCTGTGGAGTTCAAACCTAACCTATCATTCTGGTTGCATTCTGTAGGCCTTCCATGAAGTGTTAAAGCATGAATCTTTCAAGTGAGAAAGAGGGATGAAGCTATAAAAGGTGTATAGCTCTATCCCTCTTTCTCGGCCGACTAGGCCCTCTGGTCTCGGTTTTCTTGACAATCCCTTCATCCTTCAAGTTGCAGCCATAATTAGTAGCCATTCAATCAGAAGACTAGTCATTTAGGCTGTTCGTTGGTTGGCTAATTATTTGGCTGCGACATATGTCTCTTCAAGACTTCAACTTACAGCCTAAATGAGAACTATTACCTTTCAAAAAAACGACTAGTAATTCAGGCTGTTCGTGGGTTTTTTTTGTGCGCCCAGGGCCGGGCGGGAGGGAGTGTCAGACTCTTGCTGACTAAAAACCCCCCTGTTCCTTCTCCTGCTCTGGGCCGAGGTCGCGGTGCCTCATTGAGCTTACCCCGCAACCCCGGCTGAACATCAGCCCTTTAGGGCCCCGTCTGTGGTGGTCTATTGACTCTTTGAGGCGCGCGCGGAACGCTACGCGCCGTACGCTCGGGAGGTTGTTCGTGGGTTGGATGGCTAATTCCATTATTAGGCTGCGACTCCGACATAATGTATTATCAAGAGCTATTACAATGATGACGTGCCATTTTTACCTATTTGCAGAATGCGAAGAATACAGCAGAGCTGTCGTAGAAAAAGTCCCGTACATACCATTGATACCGAATCCGGAACCTTTTACGGTTTCCGCAGCAAAATGTGACTATACCGGGGTCGAACTTATCGTTGGCGGTGAGAATGCCAATCCTGGAGAGTTTCCGCATATGGTGAGTGCGAATTGCAATCCATTTTCCAAAAAAATTTTTTTTTTATTTAATTAAATCGACAATAGAATACCCGATGGTAAGCAATCAGTGCCGCCCATGGACACCGAGTTACGAGTGCGTTGCCGACCTTTAGGTATTAGGGAGTTGGAGATTTAGGGATTGAGGAGGGATTGGGGCGGGGAAGGATTGGGCCTCCGGTAACCTCACTCACACGGCGAAACACAACGCTGTGGTTGTTTCACGCCGGTCTTCTGTGAGGCCGTGGTATCACTCCGGTCGAGCCGACCCATTCGTGCCGAAGCATGACTCTCCCATACTTATTTCAAGTCTGGGTTGATATAACACACATAATTGTTCTCTTTTATTTGATGGGGGACAGTGATCCAGTGTCTTCTTACACCCTTGGGTAGAGCGACAGGGACTGTCAGACTCTTACTGACTAAAAATGCCCCCATACTTTGTCCTAATTTAACCTGCAACCCCGGCTAAACATCAGCCATATTGAGCTCCATCTGAATGGTCTTTTGGCTCTTTCAAGCGGCTGAACGCTAGGCACCGTACGCTCGGGTCTGATTCTGACCGCAGACCCGCACTTACGGTAGCCGGATATTGTATTGGATATTTATTTGATAGGTAGGCTAACGAGCCGACGGATTACCTAATGGTAACCCGGACAACCAGAGAAGTTTTGAGTGTGGATTAGGGTGTGGGAAATTTTGCGATTGGGGACGGTTAAGGGAAGTGATTGGGCCTTCGGTATACTCACTCACACGACGAAATACAACGCTATTGTTGGTTTACACCAATTTTCTGAGAAACATTGGTATCACTTCGTTCGAGCCGACCCATTCGTGCTGAAACTTGACCCTCCCACATCAAAGCCGAACATTACCAAAGATTATCATCATATCACTAAAAAGTCGGAAAATTACGATGAACATTGTTATTTGAACCCATTTTGTAACCAAAATCTTTTTCCAGGCAGCCATAGGTTGGGCAACTTTCGAAGGAACATACAAATTCAGTTGTGGCGGGACCCTAATAAGCCCACGATTCGTGGTCACAGCTGGACATTGCATCCGAGATCCCAGTGCACAGAACCCGGAGCCAGTCATTGTAAGGTTGGGAGACCAGAACATAGACAACAATGTTTATGATGGAGCTAATCCTATTGATGTAAGTTTAACATACTGTAACTCGTTTGTAAAGACCTCTTTCCTGGTATACTTAAGCTATTGAACAGGTTTTGAGAAAATTCTTCTCTTTCATCAGGATGATGTTCAGATGTTCTGATTAGAGAATTTATGTTCTTTAATCTAAATATTCCTTTTTAATGTGATAAAATCGCAAACGAGCCGGATTATGTACCTGATGGTAAGCAATCAGCACCGCCCATGTACAACCGCACCTTTAAAGGATTAGGGATTTAGGCATTGGGGGAGGGGGAGGGATTGGGCCTCCGGTAACCTCACTTACATAGCGCAACGCAATGCTTTGGTTATTTAACGGTTTTCTGTGAGGCCGTGGTATCATTTCTGGTCGACCCGACCCGACCCATTCGTGCCAAGTTGTGCTCTCCCTTACCTACTTAAAACCGTTTGATCAATTTATAATTCGAATAAAGAAGAACCAGTAGAAAACTCGATAGTTAGATAGTTTAGTATAGCGTTGCCGTCTATAATTTGTTTATAAAGGCATATTTTTCTTTTTCCTCTAGGTAGCAATTCGCAGAATCCATAAGCATCCTGAGTACCGTCCTCCGAAGGTCTACAATGATATAGCATTGTTGGAACTGGTGTCTGATGTCACATTCAGCACAACCATCAGACCAGCTTGTCTGTGGTTCCAGCAGGACTTGAGAGGTCATGAAAAGGTCATCGCGACTGGATGGGGAGTTGTTGATACGCGTAAGTTTTTTTTAATAGTTTGGTGTCGGCCAGGATGTCGTCTGGTGGTGCGGACTTATATCACTTTCTTAAGTTATAATTACAATGTAAATTTATTTAGACACACTTCATAAAGAGTCCTGGACTTATAATTTCTGATAATAAGTTTGAATTAGCAAAATTGGCTTGTGCAAACGTGGTGATTAATGCTCAAACCTTCTCCTTCTGAGAAGAGACTTTTCTCTGCAGAATGCAGAGAAAAAACATTTACAAGCTTATAATCAATAAAGTGCTGTATGTAAATCTGTTGGTACCTATATATAATATCTAGGTAGGTATCCCAAAAGATTACCCAACAGAAATGGCAGTGGGCAGGTCACATTATTTTGTCGAAGAACCGATGACCGTTGGGGTAAACGTGTTCTAGAGTGGAGACCGCGTCAAGGCAAACGTGGTGTAGGGCGCCCTCCAGCTAGGTGGACTGACGATATCCGCAGGGTGGCTGGCAGTGGTTGACTGAGGAGAGCTGAACATCGAACTCTGTGGCGTACAAGTTGGGAGGCCTATGTCCAGTAATGGACGGAATCAGGCTGATGATGATCCAAACTAATATTATAAATGCGAAAGTAACTCTATCTGTCTGTCAGTCTGTCGGTCTGTCTGTCTGTCTGTCTGTCTTTACTTCACGCCTAAACTACTGAACCGATTTCTGTGAAATTTGGTACAGACATAGTTTGGAACTCGAGAATGGACATAGGATAGTTTTTATACCAAAAATCTGCAGGAAGTCACTATTCCATGCGAATGGAGTCGAGGGCAAAAGCTAGTGATAATATAAATCTATTTTTTTCTTCCAGGGACCAAGCAAAGTGCGAAAGAGTTGCAGAAGGTGTCCTTATCGGTCCTTGACGAGGGTTTCTGCAATGAAACCCTGAAATTCTTCTTCAATCGCAACTGGCCTGATGGGTTCCAGCCGACGCAAATGTGTGCTGGTGAATTAAGCGGCGGGAAAGATACTTGTCAGGTTGGTACGAAGTCTGTTTTAAGGAGATAGAACTGGATCACGCGGCTACATTACTAAATATTATTTTATATATATATATAATTCTCCTGCACGTGTGTATGTCATTGAACTTCCACTAAACGGCTTGACAGATTTAAATTATTTTTACATGTATGCGTGGAAGTGGTGCCCTGGATGGTTTAGATTCACAAATCAGCCTGGCAGATGCCTGATTGCCTGAAAAAGCATGTAATCTCAGAAACGGCCCTAACGATTTTGCCGAATTTGATATGTGGGGGTTTTCGGAGAGGGTCCGCTAGTGTATTATAAAAATCCAGTATAAAATGACAATGAAATGTGCTGAGCACTCTTACAAATCGAGACCCTAATATCCTGGTTTATTATATTTACGCGATTTCTTCCCTGGGAAGTCGACTAGTAGGTCTAGGTAACAGTATAAATGACCTTTTCATAATCCAATCTTTGACGTCAGTCTACTACGTTTTTTAAAGAAGTTCCATAATTATAATGTCATGTGATTTCATGTCATGTTTAGCTACAAGTTTTTTTTGATGGCTAAATCTTCCCATACAAAAGACCAGCAAAAGCACCCACTTTTTTTAATGTTGTATGTCCATGGACGAAATCGATCGCTTACCATCAGTATACATGAACCATGATGTTCGATCTATTGAATTTTTCAGGGTGACTCCGGATCTCCTCTCCAAGTGGTATCAAAGGATAACTCCTGTATCTTCCACGTGGTCGGGGTGACGTCATTCGGACGAAATTGCGCGGACAAAGGACGACCTGCCGTCTATACTAGGATCGCTAGTTACGTAGACTGGATCGAGAGTGTCGTCTGGCCGGGAGAATAAAGTAGAATTATAATAGTTTAAGCAGAAATCTTTTGGTTTTTTTTACTCATCTGTTCTGTCAGTTTATTTTATTAGAATTTCGACTTTATTCGTTACAAAAAAAAATTAGTTAATAATATTTAAATGCGAATGCGTATAAACACGAGTCCTTCCCTTCCCTCAATCAATTTTATTTCTTTTTAAAACGGAAAACAAAAACTACAGAATACCTGACAAACACTATAGAAAAATACAGAACACCTGACAAACGGTAGGCATAATCTACAGAACACCTGACAAACGGTAGACATAAACTACAGAACACCTGACAAACGGTAGACATAAACTACAGAACACCTGACAAACGTTAGACATAAACTACAGAACACCTGACAAACGGTAGACATAAACTACAGAACACCTGACAAACGTTAGACATAAACTACAGAACACCTGACAAACGGTAGACATAAACTACAGAACACCTGACAAACGTTAGACATAAACTACAGAACACCTGACAAACGGCAGACATAAACTACAGAACACCTGACAAAAGGTAGACATAAACTACAGAACACCTGACAAACGGTAGACATAAACTACAGAACACCTGACAAACGGTAGACATAAACCACAGAACACCTGACAAACGGTAGATATAAACTACAGAATATCTGACAAACACTACAGAAAAGCTACAGAAGCCCTGACAAACGGCAGACATAAACTACAGAATACCAGACAAACACTACAGAAAAACTACAGAAGCCCTGACAAACGCAAACATAAACTACAGAATACCTGAACATGACCTACATTTTTTCCACGCAACCTGGGCGCAGAAGTCTCGACGAAATATGGTAGGTATTGTATTCTTAATCATAAGAACGGTCAAAATAAACTTTTTAAACCTTGAAATTTGTATATGAAAGAACTAGGTAGTTCATTTAAAGCTTCGTTGACTTGAAAGTTGAAAAGAAAACTTTAAGAAAGCCACATTGGTCAAAAATATTTTGACAGATTTTAGAAGTCAGATTTGATAATAACGAAAATATTATGTATCTACCTACCTACTAAGTACTTATAATATTTTAAAGCTATAACTTGTTTGTTTGTTTTACGCACTAATCTCCAGAACTGCTGGTTTGAATTGAGCATTTCTTCTTGTGTTCAAATCACCATACAAAAAAACATTACACCATCTACAACCAATGGAGTTGAAGAGCGGGTAAAATAGATAGGAAGTTAGTTATAAGAAAACTTCATAAATACATCAGTTAATGGATTTATTTATATACATACATGCTTTATTTACAATTATTACAAAAATAATATTAAACAATTAATAAAAATAATAATAAAATAAAAACTGCTACACTAGGTCCCAAAGAGCATGCAACCGCTACGTTCTACAAGGTCCCTAATAAAAAATGCATATAGATAATAAAGAAAAAACTAATCATTTGAGTACAATAATAAAAAAGTATAATACAAATAATAATTTATAAGAATTAACATAAGATTTGTTGTTAGGTAATTAACTAAATATTTATAAACAATCTTGGCATGTAGCTACTCAAATACTTTTTTGTTCGTCATAATGGGTCCTTGTATTATAAATTCTATCAATAAAAAAATGAAGAAATATTCATATCCACAAAAATCTCACTAACATTTTTGTCAAAAAGAAAAAAAACGATATAGATAAAAAAGGTAGGTAATGGCGATTGGCGGGAATTTAAATCATAAATGCTTTGAAAACTCCTTTCTAAAGCTCAAAAATAAGTATCACAATAATATAACAATTAATTTGAAAACTAAACTTTGAACTAACTAACTTAACAAGAATTTATCTTAATAAAAATTGTGTCTTAGATTTAAAGTTTGTAATAAATAAATAATGTAAACAGGACAACAGGGCTAACAAATCTCACATTGATAATGACAATATTGGTAGGAATATTAAATTTTCGACAATCTTTTTGAAAAGCACACTTTATAAATGTGAGGCCTGCTAAGCCCTGAACATTTATAACACAAATAGTCTACAATTTAAAATCTGGAATTCATTTTTTTCTTTTATAATTTATTAAACTTACTTTTAGTATTCCACATGGGACAAAACATATTTAATATTGATTAAATAATTTAAACATTGCATTAGGTACTTTAATTTATGAGATCTTACATTTATTATTACAAAATAAAAATTATCTTAAGACTAGGTATAAACCCAATGATGTATAAAACTATAGATACGTTGTCCGCGCTCTAAAATGACAACATGAAATGAAGGCAATTGACAACATCGCGCTTAGTTCCGCACCAACCTGCCGCGCGACGCTACGTTTGTTTTTAATTTATATCGTGTGTAAACCTGTGCGAAACATAAAGAAAGCATGTCGTCGTGTGTGTTCAGACGATGTACAAATTATACTCCAAAAGTTAAAGACAAAAATGTGTCATTACATCAATGACGTATTATATATAGACACGTCATGAACCAACATCGCGGCGCTTAAAAACGGCGAAAATACTAGATAACTACTTCTACGAGTAAAGAAAGGGAAAGAAAATATGACATCGTATAGTGGAATGCCTTTGCTAGAGGGAGATAAATATACATCTTCAGTTACATCGGCACGTGACTATACCTTCATGCGCCGGCCGCCATAAGATGGCGGGCGCCGGCGTCGAAAAAATAAAATAAAAATAGGTTGTTTGGTGAACTTACGCATGAAATGACACATTTTTGTCTTTAACTTTTGGAGTATAATTTGTACATCGTCTGAACACACACGACGGCATGCTTTCTTTATGTTTCGCACAGGTTTACACACACGATATAAATTAAAAACAAACGTAGCGTCGCGCGGCAGGTTGGTGCGTAACTAAGCGCGATGTTGTCAATTGCCTTCATTTCATGTTGTCATTTTAGAGCGCGGACAACGTATCTATAGTTTTATACATCATTGCATTACATGCGTAAGTTCACCAAACAACCTATTTTTATTTTATTTTTTTCGACGCCGGCGCCCGTGACGTCGGCATAACTGAAGATGTATATTTATCTCCCTCTAGCAAAGGCATTCCACTATACGATGTCATATTTTCTTTCCCTTTCTTTACTCGTAGAAGTAGTTATCTAGTATTTTCGCCGTTTTTAAGCGCCGCGATGTTGGTTCATGACGTGTCTATATATAATACGTCATTGTATAAACCATTGAGTTTCTCATTTACCTTCAATTCGAAATACAAAAACTGGCTCAATGGTTTAGACCTAGACTAAAGAAAACTTTTTTTTTTAATAAGGCTGCTTGAGTTTAAAACCCAGGTTCAGTAACATTTTTTTTAATAATGTATTTTCTAGTACTTATTTATCATTAATCTCACTTGACAATTTTACAAATATTGTTTAATAATCCGCTGTACCTACCAATGATATTATAAGTAAAATGGTATAGATAGGTTAAATAAACAACATTCGATTTTCAAAAACGGCACACTTATGCACACATGAGTAAATCGTATGATACACGTTAAAGTGGGATGGCATGGTTCAATAATCGCGAGTGAAAAAGAGACAAATATGAAAAAGTGTGCCACATTTTAATGTATCAATTGCTGAGCACTTGTAACCTATCTACACCTTTTTACTTATAATATCATCGGTACATACATATTCAGTCTCAATCAAACCACTATCAATCACATTATAATAACAAATTTTAAAATGATTTTAAAGTCTCAATAAACTTTATCACAAAATATTGAGGCTAAAATAATAACTAAATGACTGAATATTGTTAAATATTTTCTAAAAAAAACTTAGACAGTAAAAGCAGTTTCTATATTGGGATAATTAAAATACCTCTTATACCTTTTAAATAACATAGCACAGATATGTGGGAAAGTGCCTAAAATGAAATAGTACAGCCTTTTGTCAACAGGTGGCGTTGATCCCAAGGGATAAAGCCATATACCTCGACGGGTCCCATCACGCAAGTGATGTGTGATATAGGCAATGAAAATCATAAAACTTAACATGTATACTTCAATTTTTTTCTTTATATAGCTGTAAAAAAGTAGTAATGCTGTAAGGGCTAGCCAAAATGTTGTGCAGTGAAATATTCCACGGTGTTTCAAGTTGACCATATCCTGAAATTAATAAAAGTAATATTTTTTACTTTTTCTTTATGTTGGCTTATACTAGGGTTTTTTTAGTGTCATTGGGTTATTTTCACATATACATGATTAGGAATAAATGTGACACCCAAACTCGGACAACAATTTTATTAAAATTCATGGATAACATAGGTAATTAATAGCTCCATGCAAGACTTGTTCCAACAATATTTTGCAAAACTGTCGATCTTTAACTTTCATTATTTAATTAAAGGTAGGTAGGTCATAAAGAACAAATAAATTTACATGACCTAAAACTAAAAAAAAATAAGGTAGACATACAAACCTTTAAATATATTGATTTAGCCACAAATACATGATCAATATCAATGACCGAGGAGAAAAATGTGCATAGAATTATGTGTATCGTTCCATCGTATTCCAAGGAAAAATAATTGTTATCAATACTAAAGAAAATTATTGATGATAAAAATCCTAAACCTCCATGCACTAAAACATCACAAATCGCACGAAACAAAAAAGAGTTCGAATATTTGGAACGAAAAACTATGACATCGCCGAAATAGGCTGTAAGCAATAGCACCGCAGTCGCTGATAATCTTAAAACTCTTAACATTTTCTCTATTATTACTTCACAGGTTTGGAGGTTATGTTTTTGTTGTTGGATCGTGGTTTGAGTATTTTCATTTAGATTATTTAAGCCGTATACATGGTTGTATGGTATATATTCAAGTTAAAATGAATATATTCAATTGATGGTACTTTAAAAACCAGTGTTCACTTGAGTAATTAAGGACATTGTATTGTACTACATAATATTTGTAATGTTTTCATCATTCCAGCTGACCGATGACTTTATTTCATTCGTTCGAAAACCTAATCTTGATGTAAATGTAATGTAAATCTATTCTACTTGTACACGTGTTTGATATAAACTGTAAAAATGATAATTATTTTAATAATTGAGCTACAGAATACTATTATATTTTATTTTAATGACCTAAATATTTATATATCTTATACAGAAAACACTTGCCCTACCCTTATAGTTTTTATTACAGAACGTTCTTGACAGCTAACTTACTGACATTAGTTGTCAAGTTGTCGTTTTCAGCATTGACATATCTCAATGGTTTTCAGACGATCGAAGATTAAGGCGCGGGAATTTAGTTTTAACAGCCAAAATTAATTTTTATTGAGACAAGTTTAATTATCCTCAATATATTCTATTAAAAGTTTTAATTTTAAAGAACTCCTAAAGAGCAATGGTTTCATTTTGTTCAAATTATTGTCGCTTGATTTATTAACCTTTAAATCATCTATAAAACATCTTTATTTTTAATAGTATTAATCACCCATATTGTATATTTTATAGTTCATCATACAATATAAAAGATTTCTGCAGCCTTTACACAGACATTTAACTTATATGACTTGGGTATTCTTCCTTTCTAATCCCATTTACGATCTTGCCTCGGAAAATTCGAACCGAATGCGAAAAAAAATCGCCACATGACAATGAAATTGCGATTTTTATTTAATATTGCAAGCATGATAAGATTTATTTTTCATTATGAGTTTACAAAAAAACAATGTTTTGAATCTATCTAAAACGAAATACTTAGCATGTTAGCTGGAAATGTCAAACATTTCGGATAATCTTTTAAAATCTAAGAATTATAATATTATTCTATGCATACAAAGCCTACCACACCTTGAATCCGATTAAAATATTGATTCAATGACGAATAATGGCATCTTTTGTATAATGAACTCGCATTTCATAATATTTACTAAGCACGTAGGGGCCTGTTGCTATGGTCAAATATACCATTGTAAGCTAAACTCTAAAAAGTAATATTTTCTTCTTTGTGAGAGGTCTAAGTCTTTGGATTCATAGTGTTACCTGAAACCTTATCATTTTATCTTTTATCAGTTACTGCATTAGTTATCAATTGGGGTGGCTAGCTGTTAGAATTAAATTTACATTTTTTGTAACTAATTTATCTAGTTTTAAAAAAGCACATCCAAATATTTGTGTTATAATGTTTAGAGATTTATTTCATCATGCGCAGTTACAGCGACTTTATAGAGGATTTATAGAAAAACAAAACAAACATTCGAATCGAATCAAACATCTAAGTTAAAAGTTTTCCTTTAGGTACCTACACAGGCACGCTTTTACAGTAATTCAGCGGCACTCAAACTTTTAAATCCCGAAATCCTTTTGTATACCGTTATTTTTGACAGAACCCCAAAATAAAAGAAAATATTACCTACATATCAAAATACATTTCTTTTATTGTATAAGTATTCTTAACATTAAACCGTAAAAATCATTGTAAAATAAAAAATAAACTATGAATTATTATAACATGAGAAACAAATCTATTTTAGCTATTAGATATTCAGCCAGCCAACCAGCTTCAATCAGTTGATATTAGTTTTGATAAAAGAGAAAGATTGCTCGCGGGGCACCAGAACCCCAGTGTTTCGCGGAATACACTTTGAGTGTGGCTGGCTTACAATCTGAATGTAAGAACTACGCCAGTAGTTCTTACATTCAGATTGTAATAATATCATCAATAATATCTTGCTCTCTTGTATTATTTCAGAATAGAGAAACACTTTTGTGTCGCGTCACAACGCCCCGGTTTCATACATTTGTCAGAACGCTACGCTACGCAACTATATCTTTTACCATAGGCTTCTGGCGCCACACGAGTTCACACGACACGCCACGACACTGTAATACATTTCCTGCTTCAAATAATATAAAAAGTAAGAATTTACGGACTGTTCTGAGTGATACTAACATTCGGTAAATAGAGAACAATACACTGAGAGGTGATATGTAATTGATTAACACGATATTACCAAAAATACAACTATTTGATTACTTCTCAAATCACATTGAAGTCACCTACAAAACAGGAATGTGTTAACTCGAGTTTATAATCTAGTTGTGCATTCAACGTTTCCTTATGCAAAACAACATATACAAAATTGAAAATATAAATTAGTCGATTTTATTTAAATAATAATTCACGAAAACAATATTAGGCCTGGTCACTAAATAGCAATCTCCTTAAAATCGAGTAAATTTATAACGCGGCAACACCGTTCAGTCGGCAATCAACATTTCGAAGAAGTTGAAAGATAGTACATACGATAATGTTGTAAAATCATTTGATATTTGTTCAGCGCGCAGTGTCGAACACATTTCCTATATAAAGTTCATAAAATTGTTACAAAAAACATATCAAAATGCGCGAAATAGTTCACGTACAAGCTGGCCAGTGTGGAAATCAGATCGGTTCCAAGGTTAGTATTGTAATATATTTATTTTCATTATTTTTCCCGAAAATGTATGCTAAGACAGCGCTCTCTACCGAAACAGATAAGAAATGATTGGTTCGGCGTTCAAAATCCAATTTGTTACCTTGAATTTATGTTTTTAAAGTAATTGTTACGAGAATAATACGATTTGGAAAAAAAATATTTTGTGTTTTCTAGGTCATTTATGTCGTAACTTCGAGTAAATTGTACTTGGTACTTTCAGTATCGTATTTCTTTAAGAATTAGGGGGCGTGAAGTGTAAAATGATACCAAGGTCGTTTTCATTAGTATCTACCTTCATAATTCTTGATAATTTCTGCCTAATCACTTCTTTGTATTATAATAAACATGCACGAAAGAAATTGCTAGAAGAAATGCAAAGCAATTATTTTGATCGCATGACCCACTTATCGTAAAATTGCATGAAAAGAAACGTGTTTACTTACTATTGTCGCATTACGTTGTTACCGGTTTGAGTTCAACGCCATCTGTTATCGAGTAGATGAACTAAAATTGATGAATAATTCTGAAAATATTGACTGTAAGGTTTCTTTTCTGAACTTATTAATGGGGGATTGCGAAGCATTATTTATATTTCTGAAGTTACTACTTCGATCTTCTTCACCTATGATGATTAAACTAATACCAGACAGAGACAGGGAGCATACCTAAGCATCTTTTTAGATTTCGATGTCATAATCACGAAAACTAGTTCACAAACAAAACTTGACAATTCTTGCAATGAGAGAAAACCCTGTGCAGCAGTCCATAATACGTTTTCCTGGTTCTGAAGACCACGGATTTCGACTACCTACCTCTTTGTTTTCCAAAGTATATTTAGGTAGGTAGGTACCTTACTCAATATCATTAGCTAACCTTCTTTCAAGTACTGAGCAAAGGTCTCTTGATTATAAAGCAGCAGGCCGTCTTCGAATTCAGTCATTTCGCAAATATCCCAAATCTCAGCTGTGTAGGAATATTAGGAATTCCTTTTTGGTATTAATAAGCGTTGTCAGTGCGTTCATAGCGCACTGGCTGGAAATAATTTGATATTTATAGGTAACTTTGTTTTGCAGAACAATTGACTGTGTAATTACAATTTTTTTTTCTAAATATGTTTTTTTCGTTTTTATTTTTTTATTTCTTAATAAAGATGTTAGATGTTGGTATCTTTACTTTGAGGACTAATTAACAATAAATAAACCTTTTAAAAATATACAAATAGCTACACGATTTACATAAATATTATAAACATTACACAAACTTTCATAGGTGATCCAAATACATAACCCAAGATCGGCAAACGAGCAGATGAATTACCTGATGGTAAGCAATCAGCGCCGCCCATGGACACCCGCAACAACAGAGAAGTTACGAGTGCGTATCCGACCTTTTCGGGATTAGGAATTTTAGGAGATTTAGGGATTGGGGAAGGATTGGGTCTCCGGTAACCTCACTCACATGGCGAAACACAACGCTGTGGTTGTTTCTCGCTGGTTTTTTCTGAGGCCGTGGTATCACTCCCGTCGAGCCGACGCATTCGTGCCGAAGCATGGCTCTCCCACACTTTATTAATAGATGAAAGATGCACTTTCTCTCTAGTGTACTCGCTTCTTGAACATATAATCAGATCTACCTTTTTCGCAATAGGGCAAATAGAGTTTTATCCTTCTTAAAATATGCATTACCCTGTATGCACTTCAGCCATGTCCCTACTGGTTTAGAACCGGTTTTGTTAGACCCATCATATTTAATGTTGTATTAATTTGAATAATTTTCTTTCAAACAGTTCTGGGAAATAATATCGGATGAACATGGCGTGGACCCCAACGGCATTTACAAAGGGGAGAGCGACCTGCAGCTCGAACGTATCAAGGTGTACTACAATGAAGCGTCCACAGGTAAAAAATATTTACTATATGACTTGTCGAACTTCGTCCGCCTAAAAATCAAAGTCAAAATCACAAAAAAAATAATTAACAGGTACTTACCTACTTTTGAAACGTCAAAATAAATTACTAGTCGGTGAGTTTGTGAAGATAGGTGCCAGTTCCAAAGTGTAGATTCGAATGTAAAAGAACGAATAAGGTTCCATTTCGTTTTAAAAAAAATATGTCTTAAAAGGTCACCAGTACACTCATATATTATTGTACTCATTTATGACACTAAATAAATAGCATTTTTTTTTTAAAAAAAACAACCGTAATATAAATTCCTCATAGTCAAATTTTAAATCTTTTATCGTCTTAAACATGGCGGTCATATACTTATGCAATATGCATAATGTCAATCTAAAAGAATGCTTCTATATAATTTCTATGTTCAAATAATACAAAAAAAAAGAAATGTTTTATGATACAATAAAGTAGGCATATGACTGCACGGTTGGTGCGGTGGCTGGGCAACTGGCTGCCGCGCAACGTGTCGCGGGTTCGATTCCCGCACGGAACAACACTTTGTGTGATCCACGAATTATTGTTTCGGGTCTGGGTGTCATGTGTATGTGACATTGTATGTTTGTAAACGCACCCACAACACAGCAGAAAATCCTAAAGTGGGGCAACGTTTATTAAAAAACAAAAACATTCATTCCTTATTAGAATTTGAGAAATTGACTATATTTGAGTACTGTCAAGTAGAGCCAAACCAACAATCTACCAGGGAAAAATAAAACTCATTTACGATACCTTAAAACACAATAAAGACAGTTTTGAGTTTAATCTTAATAACTAAGCTTGCCAAGGTCGTTGTAAAATGATTTGTTTACAAACAAATGGCTACGTATATAATAACTATCGCGAGAGATGCTAATTTAACCTAATTATAATATATACGACTAATTCACGTGACCAATTTGAGAGAAGCCTTACTAGTTTGAAGCCACACCGGAGCTCGTATTTGGGGAGAACCGTACGCAGCAATTTTGCTTATAATGTAAAACTTTGTACTATTGATTCAAGCCTTTTATTTAAATTTATTTTCGCTTATAATGAAACAATAAATAATCGTGACTATTACACAGTATAAAACAAAGTCGCTTACTTTGTCCCTATATCCTTATATACTATATGTTTAAATCTTTAAAACTACGCAACCCATTATGAATCAGATTACCGGCGTAAACAATTTCGCCGTGTGAGTGAGGTTACCGTTGGTCCTAGTCCGTTCTCAACGTTACTATTTAGGTCTAGGTGTAGTATTGTAGTAATCGAAATAAAGTTTATACAAAATACCCCGTCAAACTATCACTCCTAAACCGGTATTAAGTAGTCATAATCCACTTACTGTGCGCGGCTTATTGATAGGAATTAGGTCACCGAAAATTCAAAAGATGTGGATCATCCTTCAATTTTCAGTCGTAATTTCGTTTTTTAAGAGCGAAAAGTTATGAAATAAATTCCCTCGCATATGGTGAATCGAGAGGGAGTGTCAACCTTTTTACTGATCGAAAACTACCCAGTCTCTTCTTCTACTTCGGGCCGAAGCTGCGGTTCCTTATTGTACTAGCCCCGCACTAATAGGGCCCCATCTGTGGTGGTCTATTAGCTCTTTGAGCCGGTGATCAGCCCAAGCTGGGTATACCTACACCAAATGCTCCACCACGTCCTCCGGGACCTACGTTACTGATTTGCCTTCAACAGTCTCAAGGAATTTATATATGAGACACTAGTAACCCGCCCCGGCTTCGCTTGGGTTCAATACTGATACAAAATTTCCCCACTATTTAATGGACGTTATTAGACACACAAAAAGCTATGGAGTTTCCAGCTGTTACTTCTCCATTCGAATAAGAAATAATTTAAGCGAATTTTTTTATTAAATTAGCGACCCGCCATTCATCATCATCATCATCATCATCAGCCTATAAGTGCCCACTGCTGGGCAAATGCCTCTTCACATACGAAGAAGGTTAGAGCATTAATCACCACGCTTGTTCAATGCGGGTTTGCATCAAACTTATAATTAGAAATTATAAGTCCAGGTTTCCTCACGATGTTTACCTTCACCGTATGTCAGTGGTGTCTAAAAAATCATAGAAAGTACATATAACTCGGAAAAAGTCACATTAGCACTTGCCAGGTTTCGAACCCGCAACCTCATGCATGAGAAGCGGGCTCGTTAACCTCCGGGCCACCATGACCCGCCATTGTTTATACTAAATTACTCCTCTATTTAACGGATTTTAAATATACATATTATAAACTTTCCTCTTTAATCACTCTATCTATAAAAAAACTGCATCACTATCGTTAAAAACGGAACCTCTGAACGCACAATTTAAATAATTTGATCACGGGCCACGGTCATTTGTCGTTCTGCCGTGTGAAGATAATTTGTACTACATAATGGCTAACAATAGATAACCTTGACATAAGATCAACTGAACTATTTCGTATGTAATTGTAAGTACCTGGGAGTTCTTTTTTTTATAAGGTTGCAAACTAACATGCGATCTCCGTATGGCATTTCGAAATACCGCTTAAAGAAAGGACGGTTTTCCATTAACACTCTAAGTACTCCGACGGTTGAACAGTTGAACACAAAAATAATTGGCCGATGAAACGTTTCGCCGATATAACGATACACCGAAAACACTCTTCAACGACGATTGGTTAAACGAACGAGTTTTTCTTAGATAGCACTCGTCGTAGGGGAATTCTTTTGTCAAATGGATAGTTTTCCTTTCAGCTTGACCACACCTTGGGTCTTGTAAAAGTCTTGTTAAAAATATAGGCAATAACACACTTTGAGATCCTAACATACACATTACCTGATAGTAGGCAATCTGCGCCACCGATTGACATCCATAACAACAGAGGAGTCACGTGTGTCTTGGCGAGAAGAAAGAGAAGAGAAATTTACCGTATGACGTCGGAAATTGATAAATTTACGAAAATGTGGACGTAAAATATTCCAATTTATCTCCCGTTTAGAATCTTACGAAAGTTTATAAACTTCCTAGTAAATTGATAAACTTACGGATCTTGTTATTTTCCGGTGACATATACGTGCATAAACTCACCTAAGACTCATAGTCATGCATGAGTCTATCAAATTGGTAGCGTATGACATCATTGAAAGAACTAATTTCCACGAACTAACATAATAATATTATTATCAAAAGGTACCACAGCATAGTATTATTGTTTCATCAGAATCTAAAAAAGACTTCTGTCGAATTGCTCCAAATAAATAAAATATGTGAATAATAAATAATACTATGAAATTTTATGGAGAAAATTTATTTAGCTGATTACCTACAATAGATTAGGAAGATAGGTGATTCAGCAATTTTAGGAAATGCGACAAGTGAATTGTGTTGAAAATAAATCTATACTTATAATAAATCTGTAGAGGGATCAATTCTGTACATTCAATATATTTTCAAAATAACTACCAGGGGTGATAAGTGATCGACACTGATGCCAAAAAAGCAATCAGTAAAATTTTTGTCTGTCTGTATGTTCTTTATACAAACAAAAATTACTCGACGGATTTTAACAAAACTTGGTACAATTATTCTTTATACTCCTGGGCAGGTTATAGGATACTTTTCATCACGCTACAAATAATAGGAGCAGAGCAGTGAAGGTAAATGTTGAAGTTACTGCCTTTTGTAAGTTTCCGTCGCGTGTGTAACCTCAATGGTTAAACTTACATAGAAATTATGTATGACGGAAATATTTTAAATAAAATTGTCTAAAAAAAAATGTTTTACAGCATATGTCTATCTTTTATGGTTAACTCACAATAGCACGTGTAACTCCTGATAGCTTAGCAGTTCGGATAATAAGACATAGCGCCGTCGCAAGTGAACACTGAATCATGCTATAATAATTATTTATTTAAACGGTTGCCGTGCTCGACACGATGCGGTATAAAATATAATATAATATAGGTTTTATCAAATATTTGTAACTCTTACCTATTAGTTACATCCGTACTATCTATGGACGGACGGGCTGCGGAGACTTAGTAAGTAATAGGGTATTTACCCATTGGAGATGTACCCATAAAAATGAGACGATAAATACCAAATTTTATGTATACTTAGATTTTGTTCTATTGCTATTTGCTGCTTTTTATCAACACAGCACGCGGGCGAAGCCGCTGGCGAAAACTAGTACATTAATATTTTAGATAGGGCAAACGAGAAGACTATCACAGATCACAGCGTCGCCCATGGATACCCGCAACAGAAGAACAAGTACGAATTCATGGCCGGTTTTTAGGAAGTTAGGTATTTAGGGATTGTTTCCCTTTACCTTGTTTTATATGGGTGTCCAACGACACAGCAGTTCTTTACTTTATTTTGACGTTTCAAAAGTACCTATTTATGGTTTAGTTGGAATAAATGATTTTGACTTTGACTTTATGAATGCGTTGCCGGCTTTTACGATTTGGTTACCTTCGCGTTATAAGTTTTATGGGATAATCCTATAGATGGAGTTATCTTTAACTTTTAAAATTCGAATTCTTTATTTGCATATGAATGTAATTTTATAGTTACTAATCTTAATGAAATTAACGAGTAAGAACAGCTTAACGGCCTTTTTCAGGCGTTGCAAATTTGAGGGGTGTCACTAGCTTTTAAAATAATGGTTGCAATTTTGTGGGTTACTTTTCACTAAATTTTACATCGACTATACAAAAACAAATTTAAATTTTTATTAGTATTTTTCATAAGTACCTAAGTATAACATAATATGTAGGGTAGTGTACATTTTAAATAAGTATTCTTAAAATGTAGATTTTAGTTCGTATTATGAAAAATCAGACGCAGCAAAATAATAAAAAGGAGTCAAGTCCACAATATGTTAGAAACATTACTATAAAAAAATGTCTTAGCCCTAATAATTCAACAGATATTAAAAGTGTGAAGCTTATATTTAACCTTATTCATTCGTTCTAGGCAAATATGTGCCACGAGCAGTGTTGGTGGACTTGGAACCAGGCACAATGGACTCCGTGAGGTCTGGACCTTACGGACAGCTCTTCAGACCAGATAACTTTGTCTTTGGTCAGAGCGGCGCTGGTAAGTAACGCCATCTAGTAGCTAATAGCTGTACTATTTAGCATTTTTTAAATTTTTATTAGTGGAAACCTGATAGAAGATAGTTGGAAGACATTAATCTACTTCTTATTTTAATATACTTAAGCCATACTGCATACTAAGGCTTTTTAAATTATATAAAAAGCAATCTTACGTAAGATACAAGTAGCGACATCTGGCGTCGAAAATAAATAGCAATATTGTTTGAGAATTTTACAATGATTACTTACATTATTTTTAATTTATTTTAATTTATTTTACTCTGCAATCTTATCTTTTTAGAACAGATTTCGATGAAGTAATTGCATTTTTATCTTAAACTTGGGTGGTAGATTAACGCAATAATAATTTATTATTATCTTTATCATTTTTTTTTCTTTTAAATCAATAAAAAATAGATTATGTACTCTATTTCTAATGTTCAGTAAGCTTATTATCGAATTTCAAATTATGCATAAAATTAAAAATCCAATCTCAATTTTTGCATAAAATTAAAAGCCTTGTTAATTTTATTGCGAAAAAAACACCTTTGTCAACATACCTTCGCGAATTTAAATGCTAATCTTATCTATAATAATATTATAAAGAGGTAAAATTTGTAAGTTTGTATGTAGGGGGTAATCTTTGGAACCGCTGGTTGTATTGCCAAAATTCTTTCACTGATAGATAGCTACAATATTCCTGCGTGCTATAGGCTATAAAACGTCACGCTACGATCAAATGGAGCCGAGCAGCGGGTGAAAGCGCGTGGGAGTAGCTAGTGTATTTATATAGGGTGACTGGTGTACGATTGTGCCAAAGTAACAGGCATAATTGTTTACTTTTTTAGGGTTCCGTAGCCAAAATGGCAAAAACGGAACCCTTATAGTTTCGTCATGTCCGTCTGTCCGTCTGTCCGTCTGTCACAGCCGATTTACTCGGAAACTATAAGTACTACAGTGATGAAATTTGATGGGAATATGTGTTGTATGAACCGCTACAAAATTATGACACTAAATAGTAAAAAAAAGAATTGGGGGTGGGGCCCCCCATACATGTAACTGAGGGATGAAAATTTTTTTTTCGATGTACATACCCGTGTGGGGTATCAATGGAAAGGTCTTTTAAAATGATATAAAGTTTTCTAAAAAACATTTTTCTTAAAGTGAACGGTTTTTGAGATATCAGCTCTCAAAGTCGTAAAAAGTATGTCCCCCCCCCCCTCTATTTTTATAACTACGGGGTATAAAATTCTAAAAAAAATAGAGGTGATGCATGCTAATTAACTCTTTCAACGATTTTTGGTTTGATCAAATTATCTCTTATAGTTTTTGAGATAGGTTGATTTAACTGTAATTTTGGTTAAGTTATTGTGCTTACACTGAAAACGATGGCTGAACCTTATAAGATAGATCAAAAAATATACTACAGTATTGTACACCTTTAAAAATCCGCGATGATATAAAATCTTTATAATGTAGGTACTTTTTACGAGAAATATTAGATTATTATTAATATTCATACATAAAAGTACAAGGCAAAATATCGGGAGAGTTTAGGCTCCATTCACCAGGTGTATAAATTGACATAATAAGTTTATTATATTTGCTGCTACGGAACCCTTTGTGCGCGAGCCCGACTCGCACTTGGCCGGTTTTCTTAGTTATAATGTAACCAATAATAATTTTAAATTAAGTATAGGTATCGTCAAATCCATAAATGAAGTATGCACAGATTATTTTTTTAAATTTATCGTATTGATACCTTGAAGGTTTTATTTCGACTGAGGAAAATACACAGTTGTTTTTTTTTCATCAGGTAACAACTGGGCGAAGGGACATTACACAGAGGGCGCTGAATTAGTTGATGCAGTTATGGATGTTATTCGCAAAGAGGCCGAAGGCTGCGATTGTTTACAAGGTAAATGTAACCCTATAGTGTTGATTTAAAGTGTATTTTGCCATTTTATATAGTGTCTTTTTACACCCTGTATATACAAACCTTCTTTCTAAAATTGGTATTTGTCATGTTGGCAGGATTCCAACTGACCCACTCTCTAGGTGGAGGTACAGGTTCTGGCATGGGCACCCTGCTACTCAGTAAGATCCGTGAAGAGTTCCCTGATAGGATCATGAACACTTTCAGCGTAGTTCCATCACCAAAGGTGAGTTATACTGGAAATTAAACTTAAATATTGTGCAACGGCTTAACTCGTAAAAGGCTAGGCTACTCCTCTGGGGTTACCGGACTCAGCTGAGGTGGAAGCGAGAGGAAATATGAGTGATGCTCGCAAAGAAAGAGGTGGGATTGTATGAGGACCCTCCTCACGCCCCAGCGACCGTAGTAATCGTGGACCGGGTGGCATCGCGTGATGATCTTCGGCCACCACTTAGCTGCGGGTAGCTCGCCGTCTTAGCAAAACCAGACCCGAGCGTAAGCTGTCTTAAAGCAATAATACTCCACCACATAAAGGGTCCTACAGGACTTATAGCGTAAGGCAGGGGTTGTGGGGTAAGCGCTAAGGTACTGTGGCCTCGGCTGGAGAAGAAACGGGGTAGTTTTTAGTCAGTATGAGATTAACACTCCTTCCAGCATTGCAGACCTTTTGGGGATTAGGGATATGGAGATTAAGCGATTGTAGAAAAATTGCGGGAAGAGGCCTACCTCCGGTAACCTCGTTTACACGACGCAAAACTTCGCTGTTGTTTTTTTCTGTAAGGCCGTGGTATCACACCGGTCGAGCCGACCCATTCGTGCCAAAGCATGGCTCTCCCACACATTTATTCCGGCCTCCTAACTATTAAATTACCTCCCACAGGTGAGTGAGGTAGTCCTGGAGCCGTACAACGCGACCCTCTCAGTACACCAGCTTGTTGAAAACACAGACATGTCATTCTGTATCGACAACGAAGCACTCTATAATATCTGCTTCAGAACTCTACGACTTGCGAGCCCGAGCTACGGTGATTTGAACCATTTGATTTCGGTAAGTGATTAATTTTATTACTTAATAGCTTTTGCCCACGACTTCGTTCGCGTGGAATAGTTCTTGCAGATTTTTGGTATAAAAACTATAATCCTATGTCTTTTCTCGAGTTTCAAACTATGGCTGTCGGAAATCGGTTCAGTAGTTTAGGAGTGAAGAAAAGACAGACAGACAGAGTTACTTTCGCATTTATAATATATGTTTTGATTAGCTGATACCAAAGGTTTCCAGATAAAAAGTAATGTGTTATTGCAAAGTATCAGTATGTCAAATTTCGTTCAAATCCGTTCAGTAGTTTTTGCTTAATAACCATAAATAGAACCTCACAGCATTTTGCATACCTATGTTTGTAAAGGAGTCACACATATCCCTTATAATTCCGAATAAAAAGTATATTAAGTATGATATAAGGAAATGTTATCTATGTATATCAGTGTTTAATTACGTTCTGATTCGTTCAGTACATTTTTTAAACCAATTTATGGTTTACAAATTTAAATGTCGTTGTGGCCCGGAGGTTCAGGAGCCCGCTTCTCATGCATGAGGGCGTGGGTTCGAAACCTGGCAAGTACCAATGTAACTATTTCCAAGTTATATGTACTTTCTATGATTATTTAGACACCACTGACACACGGTGAAGGTAAACATCGTGAGGAAACCTGGACTTATAATCTCAAATTATAAGTTTGAAATCGCCAACCCGCATTGAGCAAGCGTGGTGATCAGTGCTCTAACCTTCTCCATATGAGAAGAGGCCTTTGCTCAGCAGTGGGCACTTACAGGCTGATGACGATGATGGTTTACAAAAGTATAATCAAATAAAAACTTCAATAGCACTTTAATCACAAAATTGTATTTAACGCCATCTATAATTAATTTCCTGAACTCGGTGCGCAAAAAGGTATATACTTAGTCGGGTCATAAGTTCTGTCAAAACCTTATATTTTTAATTTTCGATTACTGGCCAGAAATTCTTCGACTTATTTTAAAAATAGAACTTTCGCGCTTGTAGAAAATAAAAAAGAAATTATTTTTTATTCATTTTTAAATATGGAGTGGTCGAATAAAGAAGACAGAATCGCGGTTATCGCGTTGCACCGCTGTGGTTACGCGCCAAAAGACATTTTCAATATTCTTCAAAATTTGAAAATAACGTTACGGTTTGTTTATCGTACTATCAAACGATACACCGAAGAGTCAAGCTTCGAAGATCGTAAGAGAAGCGGCCGACCTCGCACAGTTCGGACACATAAGGTCATCAAAGCAGTGAAGGCGCGAATCGAACGAAATCCCGTACGTAAACAAAAAATCCTAGCTCTGCAGATGGGGCTAAGCAGAACCACTGTTAAAAGAGTACTAAATGAAGACCTGGGACTACGAGCTTATCGTAAAAAGACAGGACATTTTTTGAACGAGCGTTTAAAAAAAATTAGGCTAGACAGATCCCGCGCTTTGCTACGACGGTACGCGGGAAAAAAATACCGCGAAATTCTTTTTTCGGATGAAAAAATTTTTACTATTGAAGAAAGTTTTAACAAACAAAATGATAAGGTGTATGCCCACAGCAGTGAAGAAGCAAGCGCGCGTATTGCGAGGGTCCAGCGTGGGCATTACCCTTCCTCATTCATGGTTTGGCTTGGAGTCTCATATTCAGGCGTAACTGAGGTGTTTTTCTGTGAAAAAGGTGTGAGAACTAGTGCCGAAGTTTATCAAAATACTGTCCTAACAAACATAGTGGAACCTCTTTCTCAGACAATGTTCAGGAACAGGCATTGGATATTCCAACAGGACTCTGCACCGGCTCATAAGGCACGAAGTACGCAAGACTGGTTGATCGCTCGTGGAATTGACTTCATCCGGCATGAAGACTGGCCCTCTTCTAGTCCAGATTTAAACCCACTGGACTACAAGATATGGCAATATTTGGAGGAAAAAGTCTGTGCTAAACCTCACCCGAATTTGGAGTCTCTCCGAGCATCTCTGGTTAAAGCAGCGGCAGACATAGATATGAATGTGGTGCGTGCAGCGATCGATGACTGGCCGCGTAGATTAAGGGCATGTGTTCAAAATGGGGGAGGGCATTTCGAATAATGTAAATAAAATTATATTGTACATTTAATGACCTTTCATTTCATATATAATTTTTAAATAATTGTCAAAAGGCGTATAAGTTATTACATCAAAAGTTTGTGACAGAACTTATGACCCGACTAAGTATATCGCTATCCTTTTTTGAAAAAAAAAAACAACACAATTTTTATTTATTGTTTCTTTAAAACGTGAGAATATGACTCTACCGGGTATTATCACAGTAACAGGCTGGATACTGATGATGATGACGATAATCTTTATCCTTACAGCTGACAATGTCAGGAGTAACGACTTGCCTTCGCTTCCCCGGACAATTGAACGCCGACTTGAGGAAGTTGGCTGTGAACATGGTACCCTTCCCTAGGCTGCATTTCTTCATGCCTGGTAAGTACTTTAGAAGGCTGGTTCACGCTACACCGTGACGTGTCCGAGCCAGATTTCTATGGAGTTTTTCATGTTTTTTTATGTGATAGGTCGGCAAACTAGCAGGCAGATTACCTGATGGTAAGCAATCAGCACCGTCCATGGACCCCCGCAACAACAGAGTATATACGAGTGCGTTGCCGACCTTTTGTCGATTACGGATTGGGGAGGGATCGGGGGAGGGGAAGGATTGAGCCTCCGGTAAGCTCACTCACGAAGCAAAACACAACGCTGTGGTTGTTTCTCGTCGGTTTTCTCTGAAGCCGTGGTATCGCTCCGGTCGAGCCGACCCATTCCTGCCGAAGCTTGGATCTCCCATACTTGGATGTCCATACCACGGCGTGGAAATGTCAGTGGGTTTTATTAGACATAGTGTAGCTTGAATGAAGTACATAATTATGGGAAAGATTTGCTATGTAAAATTGTGTGTAAATAATAAAATTGAGTGTTTTTAGCTTTGTCAAGTATTATAAATTTTTATCGTTACAAAATGATTCTTGGCTGCTATTATTCAAAGGGCTAATATTTCAATAGTCAGATAAATGTTAACTGAGGAATAAAATTGTTGCTGTCACTGTCTTATACAAACATTCTGACGCGACAGCATCATAATTATTCCCCAGATAACTTTTATTTAACCATTGAAACATCAGCCCTAAGAAAATTAAATGTAAAGTTCTCCGTATTCTGCCACTGAATAAAGTTGTTTTATTAAGCAATTTTGACTTTAATACCTTTTCTTTTGTGTAACAGGATTTGCTCCACTCACAGCTAGAAACTCCTTCAACTTCCGCGCGCAAAGTGTCCCTGAGCTTATGAGTCAGGTAAGTTCGAGACCTCTAGGGAAAATATGTGGATGTTTTTTTCTTTTTAATTAATTAATAATAAAAAATGTAAACCGTACCAAATATTTACGTTGTGGCACCAATTAGTTGTCGTTTCCTACCGCTAGATGGCGTTGATCTTGATTCACAGTGTCAACAACTAGATGGCGTTAATCTCATTTCGATGAGTCAACCATACAGACTTGTCATATACACAGTAGACTAAAGCACTTTAACTAAAGAAGAAGTGCCTTCATTCTCTCTCCCCGGCACAATCAATATTTGATTATTTTTCTAACACACCAACTGTTTTTATATGAACACTACTGACCCGCCCCGGCTTCGCTAGGGTGCAACGCTGATACTAATTTTCTTCACTAATAAATAGATTTTACTATACATATAAACTTTACTCTTTAATGACACTAACCATTAAAAAAACTCAACATTTTCTAAGCATACATAAGGATATAGGGACAGAGAAAGCGACCTTTCTCTATACTATACAGTGTTTATTTTATGCATGCAATAAATTGAGTTTTGAGTATCGACCGCTAGATGGCGCTAACGTCGTTTATTGTCTCCAGATGTTTAGCTCCTCGAACATGATGACGGCGGCGGACCCTCGCCACGGCCGGTACCTTACCGTGGCCACCATTTTCCGAGGCAGGATGTCCATGAAGGAGGTTGATGAACAAATACTGGCTATACAGAACAAGAATTCTAGGTAAGACAATACGGTAGTTTCTAACTAGTCAAATTCAATACTTTTATCCAAACGTCAAGACAATACTTTTCTATGAAATTTGTATGAAAAACTGAGTAATGACGTCATAACATTTTTGCGTCAAATAGCATACTTATTTCTTAATAATTAGCAAAAAAATATATATAAAACTTAGTGTATAGATCGATCGATGAATAAAAGTATAGTTATTTTTCAATATTTTATTGTACTGAAACGTCGAATTAATTTATTTTTGACCTAGGAAACTATCCAATTGTAATATAAGTATTTTGTTGTTTGCGCTTTCTTTTCAAGATAGGTTGGTAAACGAGCAGATCAATTAGCTGATGGTAAGCAATCAGCGCTGCCCATGGACATCCGCAACACTATAAGAGTTGTAAGTTGTGGACCTTTTGAGAAAAGTGGTTTTGGAGATTGGCAAGGGAAGGGGGAGGGTGGGGATTGGGCCTCCGGTAACCCCATTCACGCCGGCTTTCTGTGAGGCTGTGGTACACTCTAGTCGAGCCCGCCCATACATGACATAGCTCTCCCAAACTTAAAATAAAGTTTCAAAACTTCCGTGTCATAAAGCTCAGTGCACATAACATACAATATAAAAAGCAAAAATGTGCCAATATTAAAAATTGTAATTTCTTTACAGCTACTTCGTAGAATGGATCCCGAACAACTTGAAGGTAGCTGTGTGTGACATACCCCCTCGTGGATTGAAGATGTCTGCCACGTTTATTGGCAACAGCACAGCCATACAGGAGATCTTCAAGCGCATCTCCGAACAGTTTACTGCTATGTTCAGAAGAAAGGTGAGACTTTTTTACTTGATATGACGGATTACCTGATGGTAAGCAATCACCGCCACCAATGGACACCCACAAGAACAGAGGAGTTACGAGTCCGTATCTATCTCCGGCTGTTTGGGGATTTCTGGATTGGGACAAACAAGCGGACGGATTACTTGACGGTAAGCAATCAGCGCCGCTCATGGACTACCGCAACAACGGAGAAGTTACGAAGGCCTTTTATGGGATAAGAGTTACGGATACTTAAGGATTGGGAAGGGATGGGGTGAGGGTAGGGATTGGGCCTCCGGTAACCTCACTCACACGGCGGTGGCACTCAACGCTGTGGTTGTTTCACGCCGGTTTTCTGTGAGATCGTGGTATCACTCCGGTCGAACCGACCCATTCGTGCGGAAGCATGGCTCTCCCATAGTTGAATACGATAACTTGGATGAAGAATGTTATTGATACACTAGCGACCCGCCCCGGCTTCGCCGGGGTGCAATACTGATACTAAATTTCTTAATGTAAACCTCCCGGTTTATAATAACAACCGGGAGGTATACATTACTAATCATCATCAGCCCATAAGTGCCCACTGCTTAGCAAAGGCCTCTTCTCACACGGAGAAGGTTTGAGCATTAATCACCACGCTTGCCCAATGCGGGTTGGCGATTTCAAACTTATAATTAGAAATTATATGTCCAGGTTTCCTCACGATGTGTACCTTTACCGTATGTCAGTGGTGTCTAAATAATCATAGAAAGTACATATAACTTGCCAAGTTTCGAACCCACACCCTCATGCATGAGAAGCGGGCTCCTTAACCTCCGGGCCTTCGAGGGATTCGGGGAGGGGAAGGATTGGGCCTCCGGTAACCTCACTCACACGGCGAAACACAACACTGTGGTTGTTTCACGCCGGTTTTCTGTGAGGCTGTGGTATCAGTCCGGACTAGCCGACCCATTCGTGCCGAAGCATGGCTCTTCCACACTTAAATGTGGGTGTGGGTGGGTTTACAAACATACAATTTCACATACACATCACACCCAGACCCGGAACAACTATCTATGGATCACACAAAGAGTTGTTCCGTGTGGGAATCGAACACGCTACACGTTGCACGGCAGCCAGTTGCCCGGTCACCGCACCAACTGTGCAGTCGAAATTTACTATGTATATATTTTTCTGTAATATACCTTTCCTTCCTCCAGGCTTTCCTCCACTGGTACACTGGCGAGGGTATGGATGAAATGGAGTTCACTGAAGCAGCCAGCAATATGGCAGACCTCATCTCCGAGTACCAACAGTATCAGGTAAGAGTATTACAGAAGAATTTTAAGGCACTGATTAATAATTTGTGAAATTATGACGACTGTTTTAAAACATTTATGACATTTATAAAGCATTTATGATCAACCGTTAAAGACCCGTTCATAAGATCAAATATTTTAATTTACCGAAAAGCTTCCATATACGCAACTAGATGGCGTTGGCGTCGATTTAGGTTACGCTAGCATTTGTTTCATACGATTTGGTTTGGACCCGATGATTTTTTGTCCGAAGCGTAAATATAATGTATTTCAAGTGAGATTATTTTTTAACCTTTCTATCGTGGTAATAAAGATGTAATAGTAAGGCAATTGATGTGCGAACGCCAGCGTTCGCTCGGGGTTTGGTGAATTAAAAATTGTACGCTTTAATGACCGGCCTTCCAGTAAGCTCACTCACACAATAACAGAAAGCACCGATATTTCATTTTCTATCTGTTTATTAAATTATTTGAAAAAGAGTACCAAATCATGGAGTTTCTTGCTCGTTCTTCTCCATCGGAATCTACACTTTGGAACGAGCAAATAGCTTCACTGAGACTGACTGACCGACTGACACGTTTTATCTTTAAGTTTTGTTTGACGTTCAAAACTGCCTGTAAGGGTCTAATTGTAATAAATGAGTTTGAAGTTTGACTGAATGAACGTAATTTTATTTTGTATATAACCTATATACAAAATGTTTTTTTTTTTCTAAAAAAACTTTCAGTTTTTCTAAAAAAACTCCACACTAGGATTATCTCCTGTATCATTGTTGTGTGTGTGTGTTTTTTTTTATTTAGCCCCATACTAGGATTTTCTCCTGAGTGGAATCGAACCGGCGACACGTTCACGCGTGCACGGCAGCCATTTGCCCAGCCACACAAATTGAGTCGATATACAAACATACAATTTAACATAGGTACACATCACACCCAGACCCGAAACAACAACTGTTGAGTTATATTTTTCTTCTTTTCAGGAGGCAAATATCGATGATGAGGATATTTTCGATGAAGAAGAAGAACAACATGAGGAATATCAGGCTGAACCAAGAGAAGTTAGCAACACCATGGCCATGATCTAAGACCTAAGCCCCACCGGAACAGGGCCGGCGCCGATTGCTTACCATCAGGTAATCCGTCTGCTCGTTTGCCGACATTACCCCATACAAGACCATTATTTCACTTTTTGTACGCCTATTAAGTTTCAATATACCATACATTCCCTATAAGAGTCTTCATTTCGTATATTTCGTTATATATTTTGGTATTATTTATCTGTGGTCTGTCTGACGTTTTAAATAGTGCTAATAGATTTTGCTAATTAATTTTTTTAACCCCATTTGTGTTGTAGGATGTCAAATAATTAGGTATAATAATTATACAGTACCTATAACTTTTCTTGGCATAGGTATATGAAAAAATGATTTGTATTTGTAATTTTTATTTTTTTTAGAAGATATAGGTATAATTTTAATAAACATGTTTCATTCAATTTTTTATAAGTTTTTTTTCTTTTTGTTTCGCTAATGATTATTGTTTTAAAATAAGTATAATTTTGTAGCGTTTTAAAAGCATTTAATTATTTAAATACAATGACCGTGTGTAAGTTATATTATTTCCATATATATGTCTAGGACAAATCCTACATTATATTCCTAATGTTTCCTAAATTAAAAAAGTCAATGTAAAAAACCAACGTATCAGAATGTCAATTATGTATGGTAAAAATTAATAAAAAAATGCTATTTTTTTGCCAAAGTTATTAAATACCTAGCTAAAAAACAGTTATAGTTGAATTTTTATTAACTGTTTTTTAACATTGTTTTCGTAACTGCAAAATGTAGAGCTGTTGTTTGATTATTTATTTAGATGATATTTATGAGTGGCAGTGCCTTTTTTAAATGAGAGTATTTTCCTTAGTCGAAAACGAGATAATATTCGAAATTTGACATTTAAAAAAAAGTGATCACCTAGCCAATTGGCAAAAAAAAATAAGCGCCTATGGTTTTTGGTTCAAAAAAATCAAAGAAAAAAAACGCGATTCCGTTAAAAAAACAGAAAAACTACATTATTTGTTGAATTTGACTAATTGGAAAATACTTTTTTACAGTTTTTTTTTATAGTGTAACATTAATATAACAGTGCTGTGGTTTTGTCATGGTTATCCTTTTCAGCAGTGTATATGTTATGTCAATGTTACACTGTAGTGAGTTTTTAATATTTTTTTGTTGTAATAATTATATTTAGATGTAATCATAAGGCTAATTGTTTGTTGCTGTGAGCATTTAGTGTTTAAATGATGTGAATGTTACATTTTATGATTTTCTAAATAAAATTAAATATTGTTTCGTATTTTGTTGTTTTATTCTATCCTTCTGAACAAAATAAAAAGTTACCTTATATGTAACTTTTTTTTGTAATTAGGATATTCTTTGACTGCTACTGGTTGTGACTGTGGCTAGGCTAAACTGGATGCCGTGCAAGTTGTCGCGGGTTCGATTCCCGCACGGAACAAAACCTATGAGTATGACACAGCAGAATTTTAGAAAATTAGAAAGTGATAGAAGTATGTGAAATCTTTGATTATAATTGTAATCAATAAAATAAAATACCTTTATTATCAGGCATCGAAGCCCATAGGGTACAAAAACATCAATATAAAAAAGAAATAGACAATAAATAATAACCTACAATTATAGAATCAGATTAAAATTATAAATTAACATTACACAACTTACTCGTACTAATAATCGTACTTTTAAATTGATTGAATTATAAAATCAAAAATTTAATCGAAAATCGTTACAGAATGAAAATGTTTTAGATTTGATTATAGTAGTTCCATATATGCGACACTATAGGTAATATGTAACTTGTCTGTCACAGCATGTCGGACATAAGGACAGTCCAGTCTATTCGCTATAATTTTTAGAACGGTGTTGGTGCTGCCAGTACTAAATAATAAGGATATTACATTATATAAAATACGATTGTAACATCTGTGATCGTTTACTATTTTTGCCTTTTTTTGTGTAATAAGTCGGCAAACGAGCAGACGGATTACCTGATGGTAAGCAATCAGCGCCGCCCATGGACACCCGCAACGAAGGAGTTACGAGTGCGTTGCCGACCTTTTAGGGATTAGGGATTTGGAGATTTAGGGATTGGGGAAGGATTGGGCCTCCGGTAACCTCACTCACACGGCGAAACACAACGCTGTGATTGTTTCACGCCGGATTTTCTGTAGGTAAGGCCGTGGTATCACTCCGGTCGAACCGACCCATTCGTGCCGAAGCATGGCTCTCCCACACTTATATTTTATTATACTTGCCTGTTATATTTTATTAGATAACGTCACATTAAAAGATGGAAATAAAACAAGAGAAATATTAATAACTCAAGTTTTTATTTACCCAAATCATCGTAATACGACCAGGCTATGTTATGGTTTCCATTTTGTTTCTGCTCCTTAGCAGACGGGATTTTAGCGGTTTTATCTTGAGGCGCTTTCCTGACAAAATATTGTTGCAGAACTCTTAACATGTCACCAAGAACAACTTCTGCATCTTTCGCCTGAAATTCAAATCAATTTATTTAAATTGTCCAAATTTTCTGGGAGAGCCGAGACCTGTGTGATACCACGGCCTCATAGAAAACCGGCGTTAAACAACTTAAGCGTTGTGTTTCGCCGTGTGAGTGAGGTTACCGGAGGCCTAAATCAATCCCGTAATCTCCAAATCCCTAATCCCCAAAAGGTCGGCAAGGCACTCGTAAGTCCTTTGTTGTTGCGCGGGCGGCGCTGATTGCTTACCATCAGGTAATCCGTCTGCTCGTTTGCCAACCTAACTATACTAATATATAAAGAGGTACTATTTGTAAGTTTGTATGTAGGGGATAATCTATGGAACCACTGGTCGGATTGCCAAAATTCTTCCACTGATAGATAGCTACAATGATTCTTGGTGCTATAGGCTATAAAACATCACGCTACGATCAAATTGAGCCGAGCAGCGGGTGAAACCGCGCGAGAGTAGCTAGTCACATATAAAAAAAACAATAGGTACTTAAGATCTATGTTATTAAAAACTTATTTTAATCGATATAATGAGATGAGAGATGCCTTCATTTGGGACTTTAAAACTTAATAACAAACAACTGTAATAATTACAAAAGTTAATTACGTGTGGGAGAGCCATGCTTCGGCACGAATGGGTCTGCTTCGACCGGAGTGATACCACGGCCTCACAGACTAAGAACGTCGTTTGCAGCCTATTCGCGTCAAACTATAATATGTAGATATACACATCAGGCTATAAGTGCCCACTGTTGAGCAAAGGCCTCTTTTTACACAGAGAAGGTTTGGGCATTAATAGTGATTAACGTTAGCTAAAGACGGATTGGCGATTTCAAACTTATACTTAACTATAGTTTCCAGCCGAGGCTTCGCCCGCGTGGTATGTTGATAAAAAGTAGCCTATGTCCTATTCCGGAGTGTATCCTATGCTTGAGCGAAATTTCTTCCAGATCCGTCGAACCGTTTTGGCATGATTGAGCAACAAACATCCAAACATTGTAACTTTCGCATTTATAATATTAGTAAGACATAATAAAGACTTATAAAGATTAGAAATTTTAAATCCATGTTTAATTAGGATGTTTTCCTTCAACGTATGTCAGTGGTATCTCAATGATTATAGAAAGTTCACACATGCATGAGAAGCCGGCGACTCAACCCCCGGGCCACTTCGACAAAAAAATAACTACTTCGCAAACCCTAATGATATGGATATAGGAATGGTTATTATACTGAATACGGGTATGAAATTATCTCGGATTATCCGTTACTTTCTGATATTTCGGTTACACATTACGTGTCTCAATTAGGCTTCGCCCCTATTCGATATCATACGAAACTTTAATTTCGGATTCGGTTACGGCAATAACGATATAACCATTACATGATCAAGCAAAAATAATAATATGAACCAATACGATGGTTATAACCTCTATGGGTTATGGTTACGGATATTTTTTTATATCGGATATCCGATAGCAGTATCGGTCCGAGTATAAGCAGTGATGCAATCTTTGATAGTTAGGGGCACTAGTTTATTAAGAGCCTATTCACTCTAGCCTTGAAGACACCTAAATTGTATTCGGACGGAAAGACTGCAGCCCGCAAACTGTTCCAATCCCTCGATGTACGCGGTATAAATGACGAGGCAAAACGCTTAGTCCGGGCCGCAGGTGTCTCAACAACGTAAGGCTGGATATTCGCCGTACGCCGGGATGTCCGAAGGTGAAATTGGGATGGCGGAAACAAATCGTGCAATTCCTGCGCACACTATCTAAAAATTCTAAAATGCATCCTGTAGAAAACCGCAAGGCTGGCTACTCTGCGCCTGTGCTCGAGACTTTGAAGATTAGACCCAATTATAATGATGATTTACCTCTTCCTCGTAAACGTCTTGCGTATAGCCGTGTCTTTCTAAAGCATCGGTCGGTTTTTCCACTCTTTTGTAAGGTAAAATTTGCTGAGTATCGCTTTGTAACGATGAACTTTCTCTGCCTTGATAAGAATTCAGCCAATAAGCGTTTTCGCCAAGTACAACTTTGTAGTGTAACATGATTACAAAGACATCTGAAAGAAAACGAAAAATTATTCGGTTTAGGACTTTGCTAGGCGCCACAATCTAGGGAACGGCCAGACTGATTTTGATAAATATTCTTTTGGGTTTGTTATTGTTTCTGTCAGAAGAAGATTCTAATAAAATGAAGGATAGATATGTTAAGTAGGTTAGTGTAAGGCAAAAACCTAATGTTTATATGAATCGCTGAATGTGTTGATAAGATCATATTTCGAGAACAAGAAGAACTCGCTCCGTTTGAAAGAGGCCTAATTCTTCTTCCCCTCCCTAATCCCTAAATCTTGAAATCCCTAATCTCCAAAAGGTCGGCAACGCATTACTAACTCTTCTGGTGTTGCAGGTGTGCCCTTACACCGATTGCTTACCATCAGGTAATCTTTTTGCTAGTTTGCCGTGCTCTCACATAAAAAATGTAAACAGTGTCCTAGCCATGATGCTAGCTTGTCTGAGTTCCCAGTTAATTGAAAATATAACAATAGGATACGTAAATAGGAAAGGTTTTTTTTTGGAGAGAAAAATCATCGAACGAGTCGACCAGGGTCGGGCGGGACTCTGAGACTGTCAGACTCTTACTGACTAAAACCCCCCGTTCCTTCACCTGCTCTGGGCCGAGGCCGCAATGCATTGTTACGCTTTCACCCTCATCCCCGACTGAACATCAGCCGTCCACTCGGATCTGGTTCTGATTGGGCTCACCCGAAAGATTGCATTGATGTGATATTTATTAACTTATAGGTATAAAAACCACTGAATATTTGGGAGTATGGACTCAGATAATACCAACGGCGTTCCTTATTTCAAAGCAAGGTTTTACTTTACTTTAAGTCTATCCCATTGTGCCTGTTTATGTATTTCAAATTGAAGGTTGATAATAAAATGAGAATAAGATTCAAAGTACAAAACCTGGCTGAATGTTTGAAAGCTAAAGTAAAGATAATTGCTTAAAATTTGCTACAGAGAAACACTGTGTGGGAGAGCCATGCTTCAGCACAAATGGGTCGGCTCGACCGGAGTGATACAACGGCCTCACAGAAACCGGCGTGAAATAACCACAGCGTTGTGTTTCGCCGTTTTAGTGAGGTTACCGGAGGCCCGATCTTTCCCAAATTCCTAAACCTCAAATCCCTAATCCCCAAGAGGTTGGCAACGCACTAGTAACTCCTTTGTTGTTGCGGGTGTCCATGAGCGGCGCCGATTGCTTACCGCTGATATTTCACCATCAGCCCATAAGTGCTCACTGCTGAGCAATTATAGGTTTGAAATCGCCAACCCTCATTGAGCAAGCGTGGTGGCTAATGCTCAAGCCTTCTCTGTTTGAGAAGAGGCCTTTGTTCAGCAGTGGGCACTTATAGGCTGATGATAATGAAGTCCAGGTTTCCTCACGATGTTTACCTTTACCGTATGTCAATGGTGTCTAAATAATCATAGAAAGTACATATAAATCGGAAAAAGTCACATTGGTACTTGCCAGGTTTCGAACCCACACCGTCATGCATGAGAAGCGGGCTCCTTAACCTCCGGGCCAAGCCGGGCGCTGATATTTGCCATCAGGTAATCTGTCTGCTCGTTTGCCGACCTATGTTACCACATAAAAAACTATAGTTTAAAAAAATCAATACTTACACATCAATACCGAAGAAGCCATATTTGGACGCAAAAGTCAAAACTGTATGCTTGAAATACAGTGGACAGACTGAAAAATTTCACTAGACATATTTATGTAAAAAATCTCCGTATAATTTCATACTGCGACTAAATATTTAATCTATGCTTATAAAATAATAATAAACTGTTAATATTTTGTTTGTTTGTTTATTTGAATGCGGAGATCTCCTTAATTTTTTTATGTGAGGGGAAAATCGTTAGGGCGGTTTCCGAGATCACATAGTTTTTCAAGCAATCAGCGCCATCTCTGATAGGCTGATTTGTGAATCTGAACCATCCAAGATGCCACTCTAATGCATTCAGAAAAAAACATTTAAAGTGGTCAAGCCGTTTAGGACGAGTTCGATGACATACACACGTACAGTAGAATTATATAGTTATATAAAGATAATCTATATAAATTAGTCCATTTATCGAAGGAGGCTATAAAAAATTACGCTATGACCTTATGATATAGAAACTAAAGTAAAACCACGCGGGTGTAACTAGTTTTCCGATAAAGACTTAAGCTGTTAATAAGATTAAAAATTTACATGTTTATTGTACAAATCAATTATGAATTTGATTATGAAATTTTCACGCTTAGGTAATTTTATAATTCAATCTTCTTGATTTTAGGTGGATGGATATTCAATTTACCAGATGTATATACATAAAATCAAATGTCACGATGCGATATGCGGTTTTTTTTTGTGGGGGGAAAATCATCACATGACTTTCCCGCCCAGGGTGAGGCGAGTGGGAGTGTCAGACTCTTACTTTATTTATTATTAGTATAGATAACCATCCCGTTCTTCTCCTGCTCTGGGCCAAGGCCGAGGTTAAGCCTCATTGCTCTTACCCTGCAACCCCGGCTTACCGTCAGCCCTGTAGAGCCCCGTCTGTGGTGGTCTATTGGCTCTTTTAGGCGCGCGCAGAACGCTAAGAGCCGTACGCTCAGATCTGGTTCTGGTCGGGCGGCAAGCTACCCTTACTCGCCGTCCGCAGACCCGCGCTTACAGTGTTCGGAGATCAACTTTTGATCCCCGACGTCCGAAGTGTCGCCTACTGCTCCCTTACGTGCTCCGCGTCCTTCTTTGCGAGCATAACTCCTTCACAGAAAGCGGAGACGCCTTCCCAGTTCCCGTCGCACCATGGCCTCGACTAAAGCCGGGCGCGAGAGGTCGCCGCCGCCAATCACTGCCCTGAGGACTATACCCTAACCTAACCGAACCAATTTGGGGTCAGCAACCACCAGTAAGCGAACAAATGCACAGAGTC